GCAGAGTCAACCTTGAGCCGGGTACCTGGGATTTGAACCCCAGGTCGTGAGCACAGTTTTGGCTGCAGTACAGCGGTTTAACCACTGCGCATATCACACACACACACACACATTTCCAGGAGTTTGAAGTAGAAAAGGCTTTAAAAACAAGATACTGTATTTTAAAAATGTGAGTGAATGGGTAAGTGAGAGCAAAGATAATCACTGTGGATGGACCGTCCTTCCTTTGTGGGTTATGAATCAATTTGCAGGAGGACATCACATTTGGGTGGATAATGAAAGGGCACACTGAGCTAGGGCAGCAATGGCTTTCCTTTTAATTAATCCATCATCTTAACATGAACACTATTACTCAAGGTGCGACTCTCTTTCCCAGGCCCGTTGCTCGATTGGAGGCGGCCAATTATACGGCTAATGACACCTAAGGCTTCTGTTTAAAAGGCCGATTTGGCAAAAGCTATTGATTAAAACTTGCCTTGCCTGTTTCAGGGCTCCTCCCCGCCCCCACGCCCTGCGCATCCCTGCTGCTGTGAGGCTGAAAGGAGGAGGAAGGAACCCGAACTTGGAGTTCCTTCTCCAGGTGGCTGAGGGCAGGGAGTTGACACAGCTTAAGGCCAACCCCAGGGAAGCGCAGCCAAATAAAAGGCGAGGAGAAGGAAGCCCTGTCAGGCTTCCCTCGCTAGGGGCGGACGAGGAGGTCATTAATTCCCCAGGGGACACCGTGGCACTGAGGAAGAGGGGCGAAGCAGACCCGCTGGGCAGAGAAGCGCCAAGAGAGAGAGAGAGAGAGAAGAGGGAGAAAGAGTGCCAGTCCCCCGTAGGGCAAGAAAGGCGCCCCACAGGAAAAGGGCGCGGGATTTGCCGGAGAGAGAAGCGGGGCTGAGGGGAGGGGGAGAGCGAAGGCAAGGGCAGGAGTGCGGGGAGAGCAAACGGAAGGAGGAAAGGGCAGGTCAAGGAGGGGCAGAAAGTGAAGAGAAAGGGGCACAGCGAAAGACCCCCCGGCTGGAAGGAAAGGAAGGGCGCGCGGGCTGAACGCCTCGTGGGGCGGCGCCAGGTGGCGGTGCAAGAGGAGCTCCGAGGCATCAGCTCGGGCGAGGAAGAGCAGGAGCCGCGTGAGGGGCAGAAAGGCTCCTCCTTGGGGGAATTCAACAGGCACCTGCCACAGAGCGCGGGCCTGACTGAGGGGGGCGCGAGGCTGAGAGGAAAGGGCGCCGGACGGGCTTCTTCGGCGCCCGAGGGGTCCACGGAGCGGCGCGCTCCACGGCCAAGCCCCCCGCGAGGGCGCCCGGCTCCCGAAGGCGTCCCAGGGCGCCGACTCCCAGCCGCCCCGCTTGCGCTTCTCGGGGCCACTCAGGGAATTCCCTGCCGAGACTCGAGGGCACGGAGCCATGCCCGGCTGCAGAGCCCTCGGGGGCTTCGGCGTCTGGGACTACCTGGTCTTCGCCGCCATGCTGCTCATCTCCGCCGTCATCGGCGTTTTTTACGCCTGCGTGGGGCGCCAGGATACCTCCAAGGAATTCCTGGTGGGCGGCCGCCAGATGACGGCCGTGCCGGTGGCGCTCTCCCTGACGGCCAGCTTCATGTCCGCCGTGACCGTGCTGGGCACCCCGTCCGAGGTCTACCGTTTCGGGGCCATGTTCAGCATCTTCGCCATCTCCTATGCGCTGATGGTCATCCTGAGCGCCGAGATCTTTCTGCCCGTCTTCTACCGTCTGGGCATCACCAGCACCTACGAGGTGAGCGGGGAAGGGGCTGGTCTTAGCCGTCTGTGGTGCGGCAGATTGCCCGATTTCAGCGCTCCCCTCGCCCCACTTCGTCCCTGACTTTTAAGTCCGGAGTCGGCAATGTCGGCAGGTCGAAGGGACAGAGTGCTTACAATGTGAAGAAAGGGGACGGAGGAGCAGAACCCCAATAGGGGTGGGAAACACAACTTTCTTGATGGGAATCAAGGAATCTGAGGAGGCCGCGGGCTACGTGCAGTCGCAGGACAACACTTCGCCCACCTCTGCTTTAAGCAGTTTTCTGAGAGCTGAATCTCAAACTCCGACTATGTGGGTTGTTTAGGCTGCTGTTTGGAGCGCTACAGGGAGGGTCTGGGACGCCCCCAGAGGGTTCCTACCCTCACCTTTCTGGCCCCTGTAATGGGGCTTCTACTTTTCTGGTGCAGGTAAGACCGCTCTGGTTTGAATCTATTCCAACATGTGCAATTGCTGGAACCGATTTAAAGTAAGCCTTTCTCTTTCACTTTGACATTATGGTGAAGTGGCACCATAAGGAAGCCACTTCAGGATATTGGCAGATTAATCCCTCTGCTGGACAGAGGGCAAGGGAAGTGAAAACAATTTTTTATCTATCTATTTATTTTAATAGATTGTTCTAATCATATCTGGTGTTTCCAAGCAGCCCACACTAGTTTGCTTTCTGCTGCTAATATAGCCATACTGTCAGTCCAACAAGGACAAAAATCAACAGACTTACCAGCTCCATAATGTTGTGAAATGTACCTACAAGTTCTTTCCATTTTGATTAACTAATTTAACGTTACATATTTGTTTAGTGGATTAGATTGCACAAGTACCTGCATATGTATGCAGCTATCTGACACCCAAGATTTTATATTCAATGGTTTCAAAACAGAGGTGAACCTTTCTTTATTATAGATTGAAATACATTTTTCTTCCCTTTATGTGAAACAATATGTGATGTTTCTGCCCCAGGTACAGCACCCAGAATCCTGTTGGTGCTTTACATATACGTAAGTTAAATTCTGTAAGTCTCCTTAGCAATTGCTGCTAATTATTTAAGTGGTGCTCATACCTGCTGCACAGTTGGACACACACCTTGTAACATGTCTTGTCAGTTAATCACAATTTGCCATAATCAATTATGCAATTTAACCTACAAATGTATAAATCACCAACAGAGCTCTGACCAATGCTATATTTATCTTTAGAAGATTACAATGCTCGCTTGATATTTATACAGAGTATGTATGTACAGTTATAGTAGTAGGCAAAAGGAAGCATTCCCAAACTGAATTAAGATGTAGATTCTCTCCCTCAGATTAATAACACAGACCTCTCCAATAGGTTTCCCTCTTTTCCCTTTAAGGGCAATATTTTTCATCAGGCCAACTGAAAGATCACAAAATATCATAATCAAGTTTCTGAATTTTGCAGAACTTAGCAGATAAAGTGTTAAAGCTATTAAAGCAAAAGCAATTGAATAAAAACTGGATACCTTGCACAGTATTTTGTGATCATGAGTTAGTCTCATGAAAGTTATCGCCCCCATTATGGATGTTTAATTATTTATTTCTGGCCAATAATAACCTTTGCCTTTTCCATCAAGAGATTATCTCTCTCTCCAAAAATATTTAGGTAGCTTGTGAGTGGGACAGGGAGGCGCACCCAAAATATAGGGGGTGAGGCACCTTTCTTGGTTGGTATATGAGCCACTCTTACACATTTCCATGTAAAATTTTATGTGAACTTTGTTTCTTTCAGTACTTAGAACTTCGATTTAATAGATATTTGCGCCTGTGTGGGACAGCACTCTTCATTATACTGACGGTAAGAAATTAATCTGTATACTACCTTATCTCCGAGATTTCTGAAATTGTGGGTTTTTCGGGCTCTTTGGCTGTGTTCTGATGGTCGTTCTTCCTAACGTTTCAACAGTCTCTGTGGCCGGCATCTTCAGAGAGAGACTGGCGAAACGTTAGGAAGAACAACCTTCAGAACACAGCCAAAGAGCCAGAAAAATCCACAACTACCATTAGATCCCAGCCATGAAAGCCTTTGTGAATACATTTCTGAAGCCAACTTTGTGGTTTTATAGTTGTTAGATTACATAACAATGAAAGTTCATTTAGTTTAAATACCAAGTGTGAAATGGTGTACAAGATGGTTTATATTGCTTAATAATGAGGTGAGAACATTAATAGCCCCACAGAAATAACTGAAAGATTTGTCACTCATTGCAAAACATGGATTGTTAAGTAAATAGACTACCCGGAAAACTTCTCACATGATACTGTGAGAAGCAACTGGCTGCACTTGAGATTTTCTTGTTGCATTTTGCAAAGCATGCTATTTGGCATTAGGGTCTATTTGGCATTAGGCCAGCTAAGTATCACACAACCTAACTTACTTCTCAGTGGCTTTGTGACAATAAAATAGAGAAGTCCAAGCATACAAACTACCTTACGCTCCTGAGACAAACAACAAGCTTGATGTCAAGTGAACAGAACCAATGACTTGTTCAGAATGGGACTAGTTTCAGATAATTTATCCTCATACCAACAAGAGGTGATCAGCATTATTTTGATTTGACAATACTAGTCATATGTTCAATTAGAAGTTTCATATATGGTGCTTTTCTGCAGAGCAAGAGCTATACTTCCTTGGGCAACCTCTTGAGTTCCTAGGGCTGCAGACACCAATCCCTGGATCTTGGAAGGCTACTAGCAAGACTCCCCATCCCATCCCACATTTTCTTCTTATAATAACATGCCAAAATTGTTCTTGTTACCCCTTTCTGGGCCAAATTTCCTTTAAAAACATTGTTGTGCTGGAAAAACAATAGTTAATATGACTAAAGAAATGAACTAAGAGGCATATAACCAGTGAAGTAGCATTTCCTCTAGAATAACAAACTTTATAGTGTGGCGTCCTCCTGGATTTGAAGTTGTTCATGGAAATGCAGGTGGTGAGGTGGTGTGTGTCTCGTATGCTGCTACACCAGTATGAGCCTATCTGAACATTACACATCTTGCCCCTGTTACTCACACCCTAGTGACTACCTAACTATGCCTTTATAGTGCACTTTTTGTCATTTATGTCTGAAGGTTCTCTAGAAGCTTCAGTTAGTATAGAATACAGGGACCCAGTTATAGAAGTGATATATCCTACTTCACCTGCTCTATCAGGCCATTTACTTCTGAGCCCAATACAGTGTTTGTATTCATACTGAAAGCCCCATATAGTTTGAGATTACAGCAGGAGGAAACATGACAGACCCCCTTCTTATGCCTTGCTTATCTCATTCTGGGGATCTGCCAGAAGGCAGAAAGTCACTGGGTACATTTGCTGAGAAAGATAGTAGAGGAGATTCCTCTGAATGACACTCTCCCTTCCATTTGGGAAGGAGAGATGCACACAAAGTTGGCCCCTCTTAGCCAGCATTTGCAATAATTGGCTGAGACTCTTTTGCTCTCCCTTCTCACAAAGCAGGTCCCTCAAAATTAAAACTACTCCCATTTTACTGGAGTTCTATTCAGATAATATGGACACATGACTCCTGTAATCCCTTGAAGCAAGTTACATTGTTCAGATTCACACAGCAATCTCTTTGACTAATGAGATTACTTCATATGTGGTTTGAGGCATGAAGGCAGTATAATTCAATGTGAAATTTGCATTCACATTTAAGATTATTTTACAATGCCAGGAAGTGTTAGCGAGAACGAAGACAATATATTGAACTCCACAAATGTTTGGCTATATGAATACATGCAAATAAATTAATTTCTCAATAGAATGCTTTCTCACCATACCTTTGTGTCTGTTTTCTTTCCAGATTTTATATACTGGAATTGTCATTTATGCTCCAGCTTTAGCTTTAAATCAAGGTAAGAGGCATTAAAGTGCATATAAAGGAGCTTTTTAAGTTCTTTAGTATCAGTCAGATTAATGATACAGTACTTCAGAGTATTTGTTGTGACCATGACTATGCTTTGCAGAAAGACAAATATGTTTCCTATAGGTGTGGAAAGGGTACTGCTTTTTGAGCTAATACACTAATTTTCACATATGTTTTGCATTTGACAATTTCTCTCTCTCTCTCTCCTCCACTTCCTTCCTTCCTTCCTTGTAAGCCTAGGTGGAACACATTATCAAGTACCTGTAGACTATTATAGTCACATTCAGATATTATAGTAAATCACAGTTGAATGTGGGGAAAAACGAGCCTTGTGTTTACTTACTTATTCTTTTCTGATATAACTGAAGCCTTTTCCTACTAGCTACTGTTAATTCTAATTTATCATGTCCACCAAAGCTTGAAATGTGGCAAATTTGTACAAACTATTATCTGTTTTGATTACAAGCTTCATAGCAGTTGAAGTTGCCTGGTTTAGAACAAATAATTACTTTAAAAGTTACATGTGTAGGTGGTTCATGATGGGAAAAGGGGGTACCCTTTTGCAATTTTGTGGTGAATCACACACACATTCCCCATCCCATGAGTTGGTGTCTTTACATAGTTTATTGGTTTTGATCACAACAATTGAAAGTGGTGCAGTAATTAAAAAGTTATGAGCTCAAAGTCAAGCCAGGTAGGAGGGAGAGTGTACAAGATTTGCTTTGCTTTGCTTTGATCACATTAACCACTACTGTATATTTCTTTTTGCTTGATGACTGAAGTGTGCCATGTATAGCCTTACAAGTCACACATTGTAGAGAATTTGATGAACCAGAATAGCTTAGAATTGTTTCTAGTAGGAAGAAGCCAAATGCTTCTGGAATCTACAAGCAGGGCATGATAATGATGATTTTCCTTTGGTATTCTCAAAGGCTTTCATCACTGGGATCTGATGGTTGTAGGTTTTTCGGGCTGTTTGGCCATTTTCTGGAGGGTTGAGTTTGGTGCTGAGAAATTGAGCTTCACAGTTCCGATTTGCATGATCTACCAGTGTTTTGATTATGCCTTTTTTGTTGTGGGTGGTGGTTGGAGTTTTTGTGTAGGTACTAGTCTGTGTGGAAAGATTTTCCATAGACCTTGTGTCCCATTAGGAAGTCAGGTTTATGTACGACCATGACATCTAAGAAAGGGAATTGGCCCTCTATTTCTTTTTCCATGGTGAATTGTATATTTGGGTGGATGCTGCTGAGATGGTTCAGAAATTCTTCCAGTTTTTCTTCACCGTGGCTTCAAATTGTGAAGGTGTCATCCATGTATTGGAACCACACAGTGGGTGCGAAGGGTGCTGAAGCCAGGGCCTGTTTTTCGAAATGTTCCATGTAGAAGTTTGCTATAACTGGGCTGAGAGGGCTTCCCATGGCCACTCCATCTGTCTGTTCACAGAAATCGTTATCCCACTGAAAATAGCTGGTCGTTAGGCAGTGTTGGGAAAGGGCCTTGATATCTTCTGGAAATATCTGCTGGATGAGTGTCAGAGTGTCCTTTATCGGTACCTTGGTGAATAGGGCTATTCCAGAACATGGCCAAACAGCCCAAAAAACCTACAACAACCACTTTCCTTAGAGTTTATTGTCAGCATCTGTTATACTTGCCCTTGAACATAAAGGTTTCCAGCTAGACAACAAAGGTCATATAGCCTGTTATGCAGGATTTTTTTTCTGGGAATAATTCCAAGCAAGCCTCTATGAAAAAAACTGTTGAAGGACAAACATTAATCAATTAAATCCTGTAGTTATACTCTCTTTGTAAATATTGTCAAAATATTTTTTGTTATATAGCTATTCTTAAAAGTATATCTTTATATTTCTTATAAAACCTGTTGTTTACACTTTACATTTCATTTTTTAGTTACTGGAATGGACTTGTGGGGTGCAGTGGTTACAACAGGAATAGTCTGTACTTTTTATTGCACACTGGTATGTCTATGGTACATTTGATAACTCCTAGTTTGATACTACCATTTATTACTCTATCTAAATATCTAAAAGAAAAGTACAACTCTCCTTCAAATGGAATTTTTTCAATTATTACAACTTTCCCATTTTTGAAAAGAAATTTTCCAACTCTCTGCGAAATTCTTCATTTAAGGATTTTGAAATCCTTGTTGCTTTAAACACCTTTATTAGGCCAACTGATCACAGATAATGTTGCAAGTTAGATTCTCCACATCTCTTATTAGGCAAAAATATTACAAAAGCAAAGAGGAAAGGAAAATGGGGGAGAGGGGAGAAAATGATTGGATGTTCCAAGTCAAGATGAAGGGGAGAGGAGTGTATAAACATTCAAATTATGTTGTACCAGTTGATGTGATGGATTGAACTTGCAACAGGAAGTGCCTTAAGACAACTGTTGAAGAAGAAAGTATAAAATGTTCAATCCCTATATAAAATTAAGCTCAGAACTGTCTTGATCTTTTGGCAAGGCACGCAGAAGAAGGAAACTGTAATTAATTAATTAGAACTACATTACTGTCATAAATTATTTTGAGCATTAGCCTTTGAGAAGAAGACAGATGTCTGGAAACAGAAGAAATGCTGTGATTGTGGTGGTGGTTTTATTTTTTAACAGAGAAACTGAGTCCGTCATATACGTATGTCTTATCCACACAGGGTGGACTGAAAGCAGTAGTTTGGACAGATGTTTTCCAAGTTGGAATTATGGTAGCTGGATTTTCAGCTGTGATTATACGGGCAGTTGTGGTTCAAGGGGATATTGGACGTATACTAAATGATTCCTACCATGGAGGAAGATTAAATTTCTGGAAGTAAGTTTTTTGTTTGTTTCAGTCACAATATTAAAGAACATTGTAAAGAATTTGGCTCTTAAAACCAAACCTTGAGTATATCTCCCTTCAGTGCAACCCACAGTCCTATGCATAGTCAATTTATCTAGAATTATTTATTTTCTAGCTAAATGTAAGTCACTGTCAAATATGTGTAGAATTCAGTATTTGTGTTAATGTGACAACATGAGTTTAGTATTTTAAAATTGTATATTAATGTTTTTACAAATTATGTTCGAGAAACTTATGGAAAATTAAGATGGGAAGAAAGTTTGCAAAAACCATTGAAATTACCTGACAGTTCCTTCATTTCCAATTTAGCTTTAATCCTGATCCTTTGCAAAGACACACATTCTGGACTATTGTGATCGGTGGGACTTCTACGTGGCTTGGTATGTACGGAATCAGCCAGTCTCAAGTTCAGCGCTACATTGCCTGCAAAACCAGATTTCAAGCAAAACTGTAAGTTCATTGTTCTGACCAGAATCTGCTTTATAAGGTAGCAAAAGATGAAAACAAGTGTTTAGTTTTGCCTTTATTATAAAAGGTATTCCTGTATTCAATTTGTTATTACGTGGCATCAAGTTGAAACCAACTTATATTAATGACCCTAACAGGGTTAACAAGATGAAAGGTTAAAGGAGTGGTTTTACCACTTCCAGATCCCCAATGAACTTCCATGGCTGATTGGGGATTCAAACCTAGGCCTCCTGAATCCTAGTCCATTACTTTATCCACTACTGTACATCATATTGGATATTGAATACTTACTAGTCACTAGCAAAAGTATCTGGCTTCATATGCATTAAAATAGCCATTACAGTATGGAAAGTTTCAAACAACATTATGGAATTGTCAAAGTTGGGCACACTTTCTCCAATTATTATGAACAAAGTCATAGACTGTGAGGCCCGCAGACATGCATCCTGCCTTTTCATTACATTTTTCCTCCACAGAAGATGTAATCACTCATTTGGAGTAGATGAACCTTGCAATTATTTCAATATATCCCTGAAAGGTTGGGTGTTTGTTTGTTTGTTTGTTTGGCTAATTCCATACATACCACAATGGTATGTCAATGTGTGACAATGGCTGCAATAAGCTGACATTGACACTAGGCCAATTTGTTATTAACACAGTAGATAAAAATCACAATCTAAGCCTCGTCTGTAGAGATAATTTTTCCCCCTTCCAGAGCTGGTTCATAGCTTCAGCCATTGCTATTATTTTTCACATTAATTTGACAAAAGGAATGTATTTATTGAATACATATTTCTGGCTGCATAACATTGAACCAGAAATTTATAGGCATATACGTTTCTAACCACATGCCTTATTCAAGCCCATTTCAGTTCCAGAATGAGGAAACCAGATTAAAAACTGAAAGTGAATTGAAACAAATTTCTACACCTGCCCCCCACAGCCTTTTGTACAGTACACACTATGCACTCACGAGGGCAGGTCCTTGGCATCTTCATAGACATCAAGGCTAAGAAAGTCCCCACCTAAGATCTTGAAGAATCAAATAGTACCTGGCAAGATGAATCAGGGTAAGGCAAGTTAATATGTTGCTATGTTCCTTCAGGAGATATGAGAAGACGCTTAATGTGAGAGTATTACTCATACAAATATTTTGTCAAGCACAAAAAGATGTTGCTCTTATGCGTACATAATCGCTGGCTGCTAGAAAGAAAGATTAACTATGTCAATGAAGAGAAAGAACAGTAAGAGTGACTGACAGCTATGTTTAACAAAGGGATTTGAGATAAGATTTCTGTCTTCATCACAAGAAGAAAAAATCACTCACCTGTTGATGCTTCCCAAACTCATGTCAAAAGGTCAGAGGATATTTGTAGTTCATATCTTTTTGTTTCCCAGTTTTATTCACTTTAAAGTCACAAACTTTAATTTAGTTTTTTTTTTTAAAAATCAAGATACAGAATGGTTCCATGAAAATTATTTTATCATTTTCTGTTTAGACATTTATTCATACTATGGGTAGGCAACTGTGGCTTTCAGATGTTATTGGATTCTACCTGCCAAATGCCTTGGCTAAGATAACGGATGATGATGGAAGCTACAGTCCAGCAACATCTGGTGGCTCAAAGGTTGATCAGCCTTGATTTATGCACTTGCGAACAGGCTGTTTAACTGATTTTAAAATGCCCTAGAAAAAGAAGCATGCTTCCTAAGGCCTTGCATATTCATTAGTTGCATAGATGTCTAAATCAGATGCCTAAAAATAGTTTCTTAAAATAGAGAGCAAATGGCCAATAATAAATGGGAACCATTATGCTGTAGCTGTGAGTTTGAAGCTGATGGGAAAGCAAAATAATCTCTTGAAATTGTTGAATATAACTCAGAAGAATGGACATAAATTCTGTCTTTATATCTCAGAAGGAACTGACATACAACAGTCAGCTCACACATTCCAAAAACTGAATGGCTTTTTAAAATAATTTTTTAAAGTGTAAATTGTTTTTAGCGCCTTTCTATTTTGAAAGGAGTTTAAACATTTACTCCACAACATCCTGAAAATGCAAGGCAAGCAGCAGCAATTCTTAAAAAGAAGTTAAAATAAGATTGGAACAGTATGAAGACACAAGCTTAACTGAACTCACCAACATTTTTGCGGTGCTTCTGAAATAAATTTATGCTGTAAACCAAGGTAGGCAATTTGGACAAGGACAGTGCCCTAATTTTTCACTTCCTTACGGGCCACACCTTGCCCAGAAGTGCCAAAACATTTAAATGAAATCAAGTGACTGGATGTCTGCTTCAATTTGGTTTTTAGGTTTTGGGGGGATTTGAGGCTCGAGGGAGCCCTGAAACCCATGTTTTAGGGGTAAAAAACCTTCTACTCCACGGGATATCAGGGACTGTTGTGGAGATTTTCCCATGACTGCTAATTCACTCATCTCCCCCCTCCCCTGTATTACTAGCAAAGTTGGGTGGGTAACTCAGTGGGTTAACTATCTGGCTGAGGAGCCAGAGGTTGGGAGCTCTATTCTCTACTGTGTCTCCTGTGAGTAAAGCCAGCCTGCATGGCCTTGGACAAACTGCACAGTCCCAGGGCACTCCCAGAAGAAGGGAATGGTGAACCACCTCTGAGTATTCTCTACCTGGAAAACCTGGTAAATGGCGGCCATAAATTCAACTTAACTTTAATGATTATTATTATTACAGGCAAAAACCTCTTGTACAATCTTAAAAATTGAAAAGTGCAAAGGACTCACAATAGTTGTCACCAATTCTTGTACAATCTTAAAAAGTGAAAAGTGCAAAGGTGCAAAGGACTCACAATAGTTGTCACCAATTGCTGTGAAAATGTATTGTATGTAGTTGTGGCCCCTGTTTGTTTCACCCAACACAGAGCTCACAAAGGTATCTCAACACACCCTTTACACGTTGCTACCAGTTGATCTCTTTATCTGCTTATATTTCCTATGAAAGACTGAGGTCCATTCAGTACTGAACTTTTAAACAGAAACAGGTTTATTGATTACAAGTTGTTTCAGGAATAATTATTTAGCAGATTCTTAAAGTTACACAAAGCTTCTGTATTTTACTTTAGCCTCTTCTATCTTAATACAGGTCACACTCTGACTACTTAAACACTCTCTCTGCCTCAAACTCCAAACTCTCTCTGCCCTCATAAACAAACAGCTAAGTACATGCAAATATAACAATAACTTACCACTATTTATACCTTATGATAGAGTTTCCTCTCCATTACAAGGTTTAATAGATCAAACTTACCACTTTATAAACATTTAAGACAATTAATATAAACATTTGCTTTTAACATTATTACCAGTTGCATTGCATCACCTTTATTATTTCCTGTCACTCTACACACCTCAGTTCATAAACATCCAAACAAACATTGCATTTCAATCCTATTTATACCTTATGATAGAGTTTCCTCTCCATTACAAGGTTTAATAGATCAAACTTACCACTTTATAAACATTTAAGACAATTAATATAAACATTTGCTTTTAACATTATTACCAGTTGCATTGCATCACCTTTATTATTTCCTGTCACTCTACACACCTCAGTTCATAAACATCCAAACAAACATTGCATTTCAATCGTATTTCATAACCAGTGCACAAACAGAACATTTAATACAACATTATAAACTCTGTTATCCACCCATTAGTCATTTGGTCTTCGAGACAATGTGTCTGCAACCACTTTTAAAGATCCTTTGATGTTTTTAATTTCAAAGTCACAATCTTGGAGAATCAAGGACCATCTGGTCAGTTTGCTACTATTTATATGCAAAGTTCTCAACTATTTCAAAGCTGAGTGGTCAGTGCACGGGGCAAATTTTCTTTTCCTTCTATATGGCTTATGCTTCTTCCAGGTCCATATGACAGACAGATATGCCCTCTTGATGGCAGACCAATGTCTCTCACGAAGTTGAAGTCTTCTGCTGGTAAAAGTCATTCTCACTGTCATCCACTTGGCACAGTCCAGCTCCAAATCTGGTGCTCAATGCACCCACACAGCTGAAGAATTCCCAATTTGAGTTTGGTGCAACGAAGACTGTCACCTGGCATTCTAATATCCACTGGATTTCCTTGGCTTGTCTTTTCTGGGTGAAGCCTGTTTTCTTTTTGACTCGTGGCTGTGGTTTCTTAACTGGGGATGGGGTAGGCAGTTTCTTCCCCCTCCTCCAGAACATCTATGGCTGCATTCTTCTTTGTGATCTTATTGCTCTTGCTTTCATTCTCACCCACAAACGTGCCCACAGATACTTTAGGTGCAACAGGTGGGGAACCACTATCACGGGTCACCTCAAGATTCCTATGCGAATTTCTTTTAGGTGAAATCTCAAGCAATTCATTTATGTCAGAGGTGTCAAGACTTTCATAATCTGGTTCTATCCTTTTAATTGCTAGTTTCCCCTATAGGGGTTTGCCTTGCAAGATTTTAAGTGCCTTTGCAGCTGCATGAGGAGCCTTCCCAGTACTAGTCCCTTCAGCTTTCCAGTACTCTTGTGACACTACAGCTCCAAACCATGCTAACTGCAATTCACTCCCCTCTATGGGTCTCAACATCCCCACTTCACCCTTGGGACAGAATGCTCTTTCCCAGGCCATTTCATCACACCAGTCCCTCTGCTTTTCATGAGCACTCCCCCAGCTTTGCCCTTCTATATCTAAGGACTTTTGCAGACCTACATGTTGGGAGGGGTCGAGATCCCTGGCAAAGAGCATAGCTTAGCCTTTGTCATGTCATCCCCAGTACCACTCATTTGGCATGTATCACACATCTGACAAAACTGTTTAACTTGCTGACCCTTGGCCAGTAAAAGTTCTTTGGCCAGTAAAAGTTCTTTGCAACCCTTTGTATCACACATCTGACAAAACTGTTTAACTTGCTGACCCTTGGCCAGTAAAAGTTCTTTGGCCAGTAAAGAACTTGGCCAGTAAAAGTTCTTTGCAACCCTTTGTTTGGTACACAATATCCCCATGTGAGCTCCATAAGCATCATTATGCACTTTGCGTAAGATCTGGCCTCTATATTTTTCAAGTACAAGTTGTTTGAGTTTTCCATCTCCACCCCTCTGAGGTGCTAAGCCAGTAAAGAACTTGGCCAGTAAAAGTTCTTTGCAACCCTTTGTTTGGTACACAATATCCCCATGTGAGCTCCATAAGCATCATTATGCACTTTGCGTAAGATCTGGCCTCTATATTTTTCAAGTACAAGTTGTTTGAGTTTTCCATCTCCACCCCTCTGAGGTGCTAACAAAATTTCCCTATATAACAGATTGTTATCTATTATATATCTCTCTGAAAAGGGATGTGGTGGCGCTGCAGGTTAAACTGCTGAAGCCTCTGTGCTGCAAGGTCAGAAGACCTGCAGTCATAAGATCAAATCCATGTGATGGAGTGAGCTCCCGTCACTTCTCCCAGCTCCCACCAACCTAGTAGTTCGAAAGCATGCAAAATGCAAAACTGTGAGTAGATAAATAGGTACCACCTCAGTGGGAAGGTAAACGGTCTAGTCACGCTGGCCACATGGCCATGGAGGATTGTCTGTGGACAAAACACTAGCTCTATGGGCTGGAAATGGAGATGAGCACCTAGAGTCAGACACAACTGGACAAATTGTCAAGGGGAACCTTTACCTTTTTTATATACAGTGGTGCCTCGCTTAACGAGCGCACCGTATAACGATGAAATCGCATAGCGATCCGTTTTTTCGGATCGCTAATGCGATCGCACAACGTTTTTCTTATGGGGCACAATTCGCTTTGTGAAGACCGGTAAGCGTTTCGCTTACCGATCTTCGCAAAACGACCCCCGCCGATCAGCTGTTCGGTGGCCAAAATGGCCGCCGGAAGCCAGGAAATGGCCTAAAATGGCCGCGCGCAGCGTTTTCACGCCCTCATTAAGCGAGGCGAGGGCGCGAAAATGGCTGCCGGCCGGGCATTTAAGTGTTAATGAAGAGGGACTTCCCTTAGCTTTCTCAAAGCACTGTATAAGGGTGGTATCCTCCTTCTGTTCCTTATCAAATTATGAATTATTTGGGTTTATCATAAATATAACTTCTGCCATTTCATCCACATCAGAGTTTTCCTTTAAACTGGGGCCTTCCAGGTTACTTTCAGGAGTTAGGGATTCCATTTTCCCCTCAGGGATTGTTAACTGCTCTCCTTGCAAATGTGTTATTACAAAAGCACTCTGCACATGCTTAGTGAGATCTAATCCGATCAAACAAGGTGTGGGTATTGATCAGAAATTGCTACATCTCAAATTCCAACCCAGTCTCTATAGTTTATCTTTACTTTAGCCATAGGTAAAATCACTGCCATAGAACTTATTCCCTTGAGGGGAAGTATTTGTTCTTTAGGAACATCAGGATGTCATAGGGTTAAATGGGAACAGGTATTTACAATGCCAACATAAGATATCTCATTACTACTAATGTTCTCTCCAGAGTTCTGTAGTAAAATATTATCTGCCTTTATAAGAAAGCACTGAACAACTCTAGCTTGTGGCAGATCAAAATTTTTGTTGTGCTAGTTGCTATGGAGACAGAACCATTGTTACAACCTCCTTCAGTGGCTTCCACTGGTTTTATACAGTAAACTTTTTTGGTCTGACTATCATCTTTTTTGATTTTTATTGTTTTTCATACAATTTGATTGAACATGCCCAAACTTGCTGCAGTTATTGCACTCTCTGTAAGGAGATCTATAAAACTTTTCCTCAGGGTTCATTTGCTTTGGTGGACTATGCCCTGGCAACTTAGGTGAGGTACTAAGCTGGCCATGTTTCCCTGACATTTTACTGTTGTAATTTTTATTGAATGGGTTCTTACTGTTGTCCCAGTTCTGCCTGTAAAATTTTACCTCAGAAAACTTAGGATCTCTAATCTCACTAATGGAATCAGCATATTCAGATGCCTGTAATACATTTTTAGGATTTTTGTCTTTGACTAAATAACACAATTCCCCAGGCAAAATGGAATAAAATTGTTTTAAACCAACCACATTTTTCATTTGGTCTAGAGATGTGACATTTTCACATTCCATCCATTTGTCCAAACATTGAATCAATTTAGCCCCCAGTTGGGCATAAGATTCTCCAGGCTTTTGGTAAGGGAATGAAATTTTCTTCTAAGGTGTTCTGCATTTATGCCAAATCTAGGGTATATCATTTTTCTATATGCCTCAAAATATCTAGCTTGCTCCAGAGGCATTGGAGAATAAAGTTCAGCTAAATCTCCACTTATTTGTGATCTCAAAACTACCATATTTTCATCATTCTTAATCTCAAATTCCCAGCATGTGCTCTCAAATGTAATCAGGAAAGATTCAGGGCAATCTCCTTTCCTATACTGTATTGGGGAAATTTATTTATATCAATTTTTGAGAGATATTCCTCATTTGAGTTGTTGTTGTTATTGTTATTGTTGTTGTTGTTGTTGTTGTTGTTTTGAGCAGCTAATTCCAATTTTTTCATCTCTCTCTGAAATTCCATTTGTCTGTTTTCTTTCTTAAATTCCCTTTCCTTTTCTCTTTGCCTTAATTCCAGCTTCCTTTCTCTTAATTCCATTTGTCTGGCCTCAGCCTTAAGCTCTAGTTCCCTAGCTCTTTCTTCAGCCCTCGCTTTCTCTTCTCAAGTTCTATGGCTTTTTATTTAATTTCTAGTTCCATGGCTTTTTCTCTGAATCTGTACTCCTGTTCTAATTTCCATTTTTCAAAATCTTGGGAGCTGTTTTTCTGAGGTACTCTCATCAGTCTCCTCCTGTTCCACTGGAGCTAGAGGGTCTCCATTTTCCTCCACTTCCTAACGTAAACTTTTTGCCTTTTGACTTCCTTTTTGGCTACATTTGGGTGGCATGTTTAAGTCTGAGTGAAATAGTCTTGAATGTGTAGCCTGCATAATTAACTTGTAAACTGCCCAGAGAGTGCTTGAAACACTATGGGGCAGTATACAGTATAAGCAGCACACTTTTTTGAATGTCTGTACTGCTTTTAAAAAGGACCTGTATTTCTGCTGTTAATTCCAGCAACTATGTTGTTGCACTTCACTCAGCAGCTGTCTCTGCTGCCCTCCAGCCCACAACCGTTTAATAACTGTGTCTCTCTGTCTGAGCTATTATTGCTCTCAGACACTAAAATAATTTTATTTTCAAGCCTCTGCTTTGAAAATTTTCCTATCACCTCAGATCTGCTCTGATCCAGGCTTCCGCTCTTATCCAACACTGCTCCCTTATCTCTCAGAGCCTTGGATTTCAAGCTAGCCCACTGGGTCTCTCAAATCCTGAGGTAAACAAAAAAAAATTTCCCTTTAGAGTCAGTTCCCTATCTTTAGGTCCCCCAGATCTTGGTTCAGAAGCCCCACCACTAAGCTTTTCCACAAAAGCTCTAGCAGGCTACCCACTTCTTTGCCACAGACCTCTGACTAAATGGCACCCACAACTCCAGAAAATTAACTTTTAAACATCAGTTTTACTGGATTATTTCATATCCCACCACTGGACACCAAATGTGGCGTTTACCCCATGGTCCCTGTTTGTTTCCCCAAACACAGAGCTTACGAAGGTATCTCAATACACCCTTTAACAAGGTGCCACCAGTCAATCTCTTTATCAACTTATATTTCCTATGAAAGACTGAGGTCCATTCAGTACTTAACTTTTAAACAGAAACAGGTTTATTGATTACAAGTTGTTTCAGGAATAATTATTTAGCAGATTCTTAAAGTTACACAAAGCTTCTGTATTTTACTTAACCTCTTCTATCTTAATTAATAGAGAGGTTAATTACTAAGCACATTCTTAAAGTTATACAAAGCTTTGTATTTTACTTTAACCTATCTTAATTAATGCAGGTCACACTCTGACTAATCACTGCTTAAACACTCTCTCTGCCTCAAACTCCAAACTCTCTCTGTCTCTGACTGAACTGACTAGACTCTGACTCACCCCCCCTTCTGGTTTCTCTGGCTCCACCCCCCTCAACAGCTTCTGTTGGTGCAGGCCAATACCATTTTATATATACAGTATAGGAAGACAGGATATTCGCTACAGTAGTTTCTGCTCAGAAACCAAACACAGGCTAGATAGTACTTCATTCTGAAGCAAGACTCACTAAATAAGATGCGTGTACTTAAATTGTTCTTGAATAGAAACTCATGGAAGTGTTTTGCCTCCCTCAGGTCACATTGATTTCTTATTCCTGATGGAACCCTCTGATCCCAATCTCAGACTTTCCCAAGGGCTTAGTAAAGAGAAAAGGGCAGAAATAGCCATTATTTAGGAACAAAACCAACATACATGTGAACATTCATTCAGTTGTATCCCAGCAGCTTAGCAAGGGTCTTATAGACAGGTGAAATGAAACAACTTGTTTTAGCTACATACAGTGGTGCCTCGCAAGACGAAAGTAATTCATTCTGCTAGTAGTGCTATCTTGCGAAATTTTCGGCTTGCGAAAAGCATTTTCCCATATGGGAACCTCGCAAGATGAAAATTTGTCTTGCAAGGCATCAGTCTTGCGAAAAACATTTGTCTTGTGAAGTACCGCCATAGAAGAAGCCGTCTTGCGAGGCACCACAGCGATCACAAAAAGCATTCATCTTCCGGGTTTTTTGTCCCGTGAAGCGTTGATCTTGCGAGGGACCACTGTATATTCATACATGCTGCTGAATGTAAGAAGATCTGCATTATTTTTTCAATTGAAGGAACAAATATATTCTTACCTAACAAAGGTTTTCTTTTCTTTGGCTGCCAAAGAGGAAATAAATACAGGTATACAATATGACACATAATTGCATAATGGCTAGAACAAGTGATGTTTCCACATATTTCCAAGGTGAAAACTATTGTTATTTCCTTATAGATCTCTTTATGTAAACCTTCTGGGACTCTGGGCAATTCTTGTATGTGCAGTGTTTTGTGGATTAGCAATGTATTCTATTTACAAGGACTGTGACCCTTGGACAGCAGCATGTGTGTCTGCACCAGACCAGGTTTGTAGTAAACATTTTAAATTAATATAAAATAAAATTAGAACTGCAATCTTGGATTTGACACTGATGTGATATTGAGTACATGGGCTCACTAGTGCAGTCATGAGACTATCCATTTGGAAATAACAAAGTAGGAATAACATTAAATATTTTTATCCAGCATTCCCATAGAATGTCTTGCCAAATTCATGAAATGAATGAAATCTGGGTTCTGATGCAAACTGTGCACCTTGCAATTATTGTGTTTTTCAAGAGGTAATTTAGAAAACTTCTGTGGCTGGGTGGGAGGGCACTTATTTCCCATTTGAATCTTAAATATATTTTAATATATGTAGATAGATACACTGTGTTGCAGTGGGACATGCTATATGCACAATTATGCTAATATACCAGTGTGCAGCTTTGTTCTCCCCTTTACAAAAATACTTATCATAGATGTGTGTGTCTGTGTGTGCGCAATGTCCACTGTTTTCAGACAAATAAGTGAAATAAATTGCATAATTTAAATATAATTTAAATAGCAAATCAGAGGTATTTGTGAAATTCTGGGATGACATTAGGTAGAGCAAATTACTGCCGATTCTTCACAGGGCAAAGCAGCCTTTCCTATACCCTTCTTGTTGAATCCATTATTTGTGATGTTAATTTAAATAAATAAATGTGTGCTATATTTCTAAACATAGTCCAAGGAACTTTCAGCAGGTACCAAAGGAGAGTGATAGCCAAACACCCCCCCAAAAGTTGAAGACTTCTTTTGGATCTCTACCACTGAGGTTTAGGAAGAGGGTTCAGGCAGAGGTCACCAGATACTGTTGTGTTGCCAGCCATTTCATGTAGCTGTAGGGTGCAATCAAAGAAATGTTGAGAATTAGTTAATATTTTCTGAACATAAGCAGAATTAGGAGATATCAGATTGCAAAGACACTATAACATTAAGAGAGTAAAATTCAACATAATCTATTTACAAATACACAGAGAGCATAGATTTCAGACATTCAGCTGGCAGCATGACATAATACATAGTATAGAAATAAATGATCTGAATACAGCAGAGAACATGTCCCCTTTACACATGTCCTTTTATATATCTAGGGACCAATCAGAATGTACATTACATCAGATTACATTATTTTCTCCAGCTGCACAACATCAAGTCTTTAACCTTGGTACACACCTGAATTCACTTTCTACATGATTCAGGTTATATCAGCCATTTTACTTTTTACTATACATCATTATATTTAATATATTTTAGGTCAAATATTTCAATAAGAAATACGCCATTATTTCTAGTCAGGATTTGCATTTTAGAATTTTCTTTCTTTTTTTCTTTCTTAAATAGATTTTACTAAATTTTACACTGGGAATGAATGTATATTTGATGGTGAATGAATGCCTGCATTTTCTAGAATGGGCTTTGAGTGGATAAGTCAAAATTAATGCACTAGAGCCTGTTTTTCTCTTTTTGCTGCCTTTTTCCCTTTTGTTGACCTGGTGATGCAAATACCACTGCCTGCTAGCCTTTGTGGCATTGCCAGATGAGTGTGTGTTGACAGAAGTAAAATCATCCCATTCCATTCTATCTCTAAGTATTTAAGGTCTATCTTAGTAGCAAAATCAATAGTGTTGTATAGTCCTACATTATGGCCATTTTCTTTTCCCCGTTTATGGGAATGGCTTTTCCACAGGTATCTGGAAATGCACAAATACCATCACTGACCTCGACAAGGATTGGGCTGGAGTGACACCTAAAGGACACAGTGTGGATCAGATACCAATCTGTACATCCTTATTTGGGCACAGACTAGAAAGGGGGCCAGTGCACATCCTAAGTTTACATATATATGTACATGTACTGTATGTATTTTTTTATTTACACATACCGTATTTAGGTTTGGATGAGTTAAAGAGTATGCACAGAATGGAAATTTAAAAAATTAAAGCACAGAAGAAAGAAATCAAAATGATGTGATTTATACATATTTTTTCCCCAGCTCATGCCATACTTAGTATTGGATATTCTGAAAGATTTTCCAGGTGTGCCTGGTCTTTTTGTAGCTTGTGCTTACAGTGGAACATTAAGGTAAGTTAATCCTGAATCCATAGGAGGAGGGGAATGTTCATGATGTATCCAAATGGCAACCGCAATTAATGGTCCATTTAATCCTAATCTACCAGTTTTTTTAAAAAATAATTGAAGAGTGAGGTGTGCAGAGCCCCCAAACCCAGCAGTCCAGTTTATTTAAGGGAATCCTTAAAACAGGGAACAGGGACCTTGCTTCCCAATACCAGATCGGTGCCTGTGCAAAAAAACTCTGCCTCAAAAGTTGTGACAAAAGAAAAAAAAAACATTACATGCCCCCTCACGTTCTATTGCAATGCGCAATCAGTGCTTACCAGGTATCCCTCACAATCCTTCAATCAGTCACAAAAAGGTGTATCTCCTAGCAGTCCCTTTCATTGAGGGGGTTGTGTAAGAAAGCTTTGAGGCAGTCTGACTTTTTCAGGACCACTCCAGCAGGTTTAATTTCCCAGCCAGTAATATCCTCCTGTGATTCATTGGCTGAGAAGGGGGAAACCCATGAAGGGCTGCACTAGCCATATAACCCTTTAATATGTCATGTACCACTGACAGAAAAGAGATGATGGCGAATAGCACCCATTCCCAGCTACATGTGCAAACTAGGTGTCTGGTAAGTCTGGGAACCCTTTGTTAGTAGTTCTAGTTATGTGCGAATTCTGCAACCAAATATGGCTCCTGACTGAAATGTCCTGTTGAGGTGGTTTAGGTTAATCAGCAGCTTAATTGCCTTAAACAATCTAATGCACTGTTTCTTGCGAATAAGCCCCACTGAATCTAGCAGGACTTAATTCCAAGTAAATACATATGGAACCGGGAAATAGCAGTTGTGGAATTGTATGATAACTGCTACTGAATTAAACACAGAAATTAAATAAACTGTATATAACTGGAAGCAGAAGATGAAGCAACTCTTTTTTTTCTGCATAAACAAGGCCAGACGTTGACTGATAATGAACTATTAATATCAAAAATTAAACTAAGGAAGTACACTAAAATAACCATAGTGCCAAAATGTAATTTGAATAATATTCCTGATGAATTAACTCTATGTAAAGGACACATTTGCATTACTAAATCCAACTAGCATGAACTAAAATAACTGCAGAATTAAACTACAGGAAGAATGCAAAAAAAAATTATTCTTATTGTCTAAAGATACTGTACAAAACGCCTAGATGGATAATGAGAGACATGACAGACGTAAGCAGCAGTAACCAATTGTTCCTCCCTTCCTCTTATTTTCAAAGAGAGTTTTGTCTCTCTGGTCTGTGTCTTTTACCCTCTCTTTTTGTCTGCTGGCAGTTAGTATGTAGTTTAGAGTTTGTCAGAAGCAGTCAGTGAATCTGTTGAGGCCTGCTGCTTATAGCAGTAATGTTTGTTTAGCATGAAGTTTTTGATTTGTTCAATTGTAAGTAAATGAAACTTTTTCTTTCTCTTACCAGTGTCTCAGAGTGAGTTATTGAGGCTGTTAGTGCCAGCTGATGAGAGAAAAAGGGGTGGTCTAATCTGGGCAACCTGAAGCTAATTCTGCTCTGTGAGCCCCTGCATTTCTGCTGCAAGGCTAGAGGAGTTTAACCAAAATTCAAAACTCTGCAACAGGTTCCCCAGAAGTTTCTGGATTTTAAACTCCCAGAAGCCTTCACTACTAGCTGCACTGACCAGGATTTATGTGAGTTGTAGTCCAAGAACATCTGGGGACCCAAGGTTGAGGACCAGTGTACTAGAAAAAGGTGAAGGCTGTAAAAAAGAGGTAGATCTAATATAAGATGGACTGACTCAATAAAGTGAGCCATGACCTTACTAGAAAAAGGTGAAGGCTGTAGAAAAGAGGTAGACTGACTCAATAAAGTGAGCCATGACCTTTATTTTAATGACCTTGAATGTTTGGAGGTCATTTGTTCAATATCAGTATTACAGCAGTATGTGCTTTGGTTCTTTTCTGATTCCTTCTCTGTCCTCCTGAAGCAGACCCCCACTGAGTGGTTCCATTCACTCCTGTGAAGACTACACAGCTTCAGGACTTTTGGACCACAGTCTCTAACCTGAGGGAATCTTGGGAATATCCCATGATTCAGCAGTCAGTCTTCTTTACTTAGCATACAGAATTGCCCAGGGACTGTACAGTATTGGTTATTTTAAGAACCTCTCTTCTTAAAATCACTGCAGATCATAATAACTATTTTTTATTATTTCTGAGCTACTGATCATAACAGCTTTATTTTTAAAGAATGAAAACAATGATTATTTTAGTTAGTATTGTACAGTACTAATTTAATGTATGACATTGAGACATGTTCTGTTGTATTTTCCTTAGTACAGTGTCCTCTAGCATCAATGCTTTAGCTGCTGTGACAGTAGAAGACTTAATTAAACCATACTTTCCATCACTCACTGAAAGAAAACTGTCTTGGATTTCTAGAGGAATGAGTAAGCGCACTGTTTCAATTTATGTTAGCTTTAGGAAACAAATATTGTTGCATATACCATAAGACGCACCTTTCCATAAGACGTACCAATTTTTTAGGAGAAGAAAACAGGAAAATATAATCTGTTTTCTTCGCTCCATAAGACGCACAGACTTTCCACCCCCCTGTTTTGTGGGAAAAAAGTGTGTCTTATGGTGCGAAAAATACGGTACTTCTGTTTACATTGAAAGATTCTGTTAACATTGAGCAGGTTAACAGATTACTGCGTTTTTATAGTGGATTTTAAATATTAATGCCAGCAATTTATTTATGAATTAGTGGAATACGCAGAGTTGTTCCACAATAACTCATACACTATGAAACTTCTGAAAATTCCCTTGTACTATTATTGGGCATGTATACAAATAGGCTAGTGAAGTCTATTTTATGTCTTACATATGGTTTATCAGAACATTAATTACACAGGCTGTGCAAGTAGGTAAGTCAATGCTAATTTTCAATATCAATCTGTATGTAAGTAATGCACAGCATAAATTTGTGCATATTTACTCAGACATGAATCCATTATTTTCAGTGGGTTTTACTTCCACTCAAAATGTATTGTAGTTGCAGTTCATTTAAAAGCCTTTAAGAAGGAGTTTTTGACATCACCCTTAGTTCCCTTTCCCCACTGTTATTGATTTTATGTGCCATGTAATTAGAACTGACTTGCAGCAGCTCTAATAGCCTTTTCAAGACTATATGAGATATTAAGGGAGTGGCTTTACCAGTCCCCTCACTCCTCACGAGTTTCCATAGCTGAGCAGGAATTCAGCCCAGATCTCCTGAATTCTAGTCCATTACTCTATCCACTATATCACTCTGAGTATCCATATTCCCCACTATAAGCATTCCTAAGTACATAAAACTGAAATGATCTCACACTCTTCCACCCTGTATTCCTCCACACATTTCCAATTTATTTTTGCTAATTTTTCACTTCTCCTGCATTTAATGTTGAAGCTCCTTTGAGAACAATCCTGTCTTCCTTTTTATACTCTGTAAAGTTCTATGTATGTTGAAATTAATAACAAACAATAACAATAAGAGGAGGTCCTAAAAGATCATGAAGTATAGGATATGTGTTGCTGGTACATTTAGTGAATGTTAGGCAGTGCAATGCATTATAAACTTCAGGGGCTAGGAATAAGCAAAAGTCTACTCTAGTGACAGAAATCTATTTTTAATGGCAAAAATGCACTTGTGCTAGCACAATCCCTTTCTGCTGGCTGATCTCAGTGATACATCAATACAGGGATCTACCAGCAAAACGGCAGTACGGTTTAAAATCTATTAACAGGACAGTAAAAAAAAAAAGAGTTGTAGAAAGGGAGGAGTAAGGCAGTAGCTGAGTTACAAAATGCCTAGAACTGTTTTACTCTGGGGGATACGGCCACAATACATGCACAAAGTTAGGCCAGGGAGAGGACAGTCTTAAGCAGAGCCATATCTACCCATTTAGCACCTGGGACAAGTAGTACCACTTTTCACTCACCCTGCTCTGAGGTATGAGTGCAAGCCTCCCCCCCAACACGAAAAAGGGAAAATGTGGTGTGTCCCCCTCCCAAGTGTATGTTTTTGGGAAAAAAATGAAGTGACTAGGGACAGGTCATGTTGGTGTTTATTTTCCTAACCACTCACCAGTAGTTTCAACTCCAAATTTTGATGCCTCTAAATTTTGGTACCTTGGGCCAAAGCCCCAGTTGCTCTAACCTAGTTGGGCCTAATAATTTTTGACATCCCCAACTGAGGAGAAGGTAGGATTCAGCACAGCTTAAGTTGGGCTAGTATCGGTTCAGTTGGTCCACAGCTCCCTTTGCTAAAGGGATTAATAAATTAATGTACTGTATTCATTCCCCCCATAAATTTATTATTTCATGTATCTCTGTATATCATTTAGGTCTTTTTTACGGTGGAGTGTGCATTGCTATGGCCGCCTTGGCATCACTTCTGGGAGGTTTGTTACAGGTAAAAAAATCAGTAATTTCTCGGTTCATGTCAGTTTGCCTATGAGGACAGAACAGCCAATACATGCTCCCTGAATGTAGGTAACTTACTTGTTAGTTCTGCTACTTACAGTGGATACAGTTTCATCCTTTCTACTTTAAACAATTTTATTAATAGACTTAAGTCAGGTTAAGAAACAAAAACCATTTAAGAAGTGAAACCTACATTGTTCTAAGCCCACAAACCTATTTTCATTTCAAATTTTAAATCAATGTGTGCATTAACCTGCATGGATTTAAAATAATGTACATTCAGTTGATCTGATGAATTATGGTCATTAAAAACAGGAAAAGCTTACAAAAAAAGAGCCAAACTGTAAACCGTTGGCCTTTGTTTGTTTCAGGGCTTGGAAGTAACATGTTACAAGTAACAACAGTACTTGTAGTAAAGCATTACTTTTGAGGGTAATGGCAGCATAAAAATGTTCCTTTTCCAAAAAAGGTAATAACTGGTAACTGGTTGTTACTTTTTTGAATATAGTGAGTACTATTGTTTTTACTTGTTCTAAAATGTTTTCCTGAAGCATTTTGAGGGTGCCCCTCAAATTGTAGGCCATTTCCTAGCTTTCCCTCACCAAAATTACACACAAAAAGAAAAGAAAAAGCAGGCAGTGTAACAAGCAAGAGAACACATTACTAAAACATTTCCCACAAAGAACAAGTTCTTGTATAGTGTTTTTCTAATATGTCACCTAACAAATTATTTTGAAAAGATAACACTCAAAATTCTGATTTGTTTTAAGAACTGTTTCAGAAATGATTTAATATCAAAATTATATCAAAATGATTTTCAGAATGATTTAATATCAAAGAAGATGAGGAACGAGGAAGTGCTTGGCCCTCTACCTGCCATTTCTCTAACGACTTTTGCCCTTGTATATTTTTAAATGCACTGTTTTTCATGTTAAACACTCGTTTTAAATCTTGCAGGGCAAAACCCATTTTGTTTGGGAGATTAGGAGTGGGAAGGTGGTGGGTTAGCATAAGGGTCACCTCTTCTTATCACTTCACAATGATCAATCATGCCTTCCTCTACGGTGGTTATGTATTATATATTAATAATGTCCAGAAAATGACACCAGTGAGGATTGACATGGAAGACTGAGTTCCTTTCTGAATACTTTATTTTACTCCTTCAGGCAGCTCTCAGTATTTTTGGGATGGTTGGCGGGCCTCTCCTTGGACTCTTTTCTTTGGGTATCCTATGCTCATTTGCCAATCCTGTGGTAAGTAGTATTTATGTGAGTGGCAACCTGCTGCAATTTTTGTTTATTACCCTTTGTTTATATGTATATGTAATAACATTTTCAATTGGTTTCCTGTGGCAATTTCCCCATGGCAATTTACATAGGCGGAAAGATATAGTCAAATGTGTTTAGAACATTAAATAGTATTTAAACCACATTTAGAGAGTCCAGAAAAAAGTAATATAGGATAAAATTAATAAAACCAGCAATTATCTACCAATCCAAAAATTCTTCCTGAAATACAAAGCATTGTTTGGGAATGTACTAAGTCATTTGACAATCTGATTCGGAATAACAAATCCAACCATTGCTTCACAATGGGCCTGTTTACTGCTACAGCAGAAAATTTAGCTAGCACCAGCTTCTTTCTGTTGTTCTTCTGAGATATGCATTTTGCTACAGATGACAACATCAGCATTATAGGGACTGTGTCTTCTGGCCTTAAGTTCCATTCTCCTCTTTCCTCTGCTATTCCAGGTGTTATCTAAAAGAGAATGAACATTCCATGACCCATTTGTAATTGATATAAACTTGCTTCCTTAATTTTGTGGACTTCTACTTCAAAGTGTGGGATTCCCACCAACTATGGCTAGCTGGTCAGAGTATAGTGAAACAGACAGTATTTTGGGCACCTGTTCTAGCCACCTCCTCAACATGGAGATGAGAAGTGTGATGCTAAAAAAGGCCCACCCAGACATTTGGCTGCTGCCAAGCTCTATTTCTTTGTACCACCTGAGAGCAGCCCTATATGTGAGTTCAGATGGATATGAACCTGAAAAATGGTGGTTCATGGTTAGTCACGAACCACAAAACACTACCAAACGACTGGGGGGAAAATTGGTTCATGGTTTAGTTTTTGGTCCATGCTTGTTGGGGGGGGCTACCTGCTCCTGTTGCGCTGCCCCCACTATACTGCCTCCACAGCATCATTGCTGCCATGGCGGCAGTTGCATGAGGCACATCAATGAAGAGCCTGGTTGCTGCCTCTGCACAAGCATGCGACCTCCCAGATGTTTGCCCTGATCAGCTGGGAGGTGGGTGCGTGCACAGATTTTGTGCAGGCTCCTGACCCTCTGGTGTTCGGCCTGTTAAGCTGGGCTGCAGGTGCATGTGCAGAGGCAGCAGGCCTGTCTCCTGGAAAGGAAGCTGGTGTGCTGTCTCTGACGATGGTGGCCGCAGTGGAGGCAGGAGTGCAGCAGAGGCAGCAGGACCAAGTAGGGAGGTGATGAGGGCAGTGGGAAGGGGGCGGGTAGGCTGAAGCAAGACTGAAGGTAAAAGTTCAGCATTTTGTTTTCACGAAACTGTATCTCCAAACTGGGTCACAAACCCAAACCACGAACCAGTCTGATTCATTAGTGTTTCTGGCTCATAGTTTGGTTCGTGTCCATCTCTATACATGAGCCATGTACAGGTTCATAGCTACGGCTGCCAATGCATCTGCACCTGCTGCTTTGCTGCTTGCTTATCATCACTAGTTTTTTTTTAAATAAGTAATATAGTAAAAGAGCAATGTGGTGAAATGACGAAACAATGAGGTGTTGGAAATGACTTCTGTGTGAATTTATTTAAAGTGAGGAAAACTTACACAGCATAAGCCCCATTCTTTCTTTCTAGTGCCTGTCATAATCCACTGGCAAGACCCAGTCAAGACAACTGAAGATGGGGCCAGATGCAAGGGCCGACCAAGATTTCCTAAGTGCCTCATCCTGCCCTACATGTACTATGAACACATTGGTTGCTTGGCTGGTTTTGGCTGACTTTCTGTAGGATACATAATGATCTTCTGTAGGATACATAATGTGCTCTCCTACTTTGTCAGCTACACCAGTCTTTGCATGCTGGCATAGGCATGTCCCATAAAATGACAGAGGGCTAAACCCATCAATTTACCTCACCTGGTTTAGATCCCCTCTTACATAGTTTACTGAAGTGTGGCTGTTGTGTATGTTACAGCTACTTGGATGAGAGCTGAATGTTAGGTGAGGCCAGCAATGAAAGTAAAGGTCTTTATCCAGTGTGTTGTTACTCTATGGAACTCCTTGCCACAGGATGTGATGATGTCATCTGGCCTAGATGCCTTTAAAAGGTGATTGGACTGATTCTTGGAGAAAAAAATCTGTTGCAAATTACAAACTGTGATGGGAATGTATAATCTCCAGACTTAAAAGAAAGGTACCTCAAAATGCCAGATGCAGGGGAAGGGTATCAGGAGACAGGTATCTAGTTGTCTCATGTTCTCTCAGAGGCATCTGGTGGGGACACTGTGAGATACAGGGAGCTGGACTAGATGGACCCTTGGCCTGATCCAGCAGGACTCTTCTTATGTTCTTATGTCATAATAAGTCAGCTGGTCCAATTATTAGATATCTTCCCACAGAGGCACCTCATATACCCCATTTGTTTATCCCAAAGCTTTTTTGCTTATTTCTAAATTTTATAACAAACATTTGTATGGAATATGTAGTTTATGCATAACAAAATCAAATACAAGAACCTATTTGGTGAGGGCAACAGCATAAAGTATCATTTAATACTATTCTTTAGCATCCTTTGCCCTGAAACTCTTACTTGCCCTCAAAAATCACCTCCATGACTGTACTCTTTCCATCCAAAGCATCTGGTTGGTGAACAAAAGCTTTCTGCTGGGAAATAACAGAGAAAATGCATCAGACCATGTGAGGGGTCGTACTTTGCCTCCCCTGGTTTTAGCTGAGAAACTGAAGACAACTGTGTTGAAAAATCATAACTAGGTTTTATTGGAAGATGTAGCAACAAATCAGTATGCTCAAATTCAACTTCTGCGTTTTCTCTCGTCGCCGACGGGTTGAGCGAGGGCATCCAAACGTCTTTAACAAAGGATTTTCTCTTGTTGCCGACGGGTCGAGCGAGGGCATCCAAACATCTTTAATAAAGGGATTACAGTTTAAGTCGTCCCAAGGTGCTTTCAAAAATGGATTACTGTTTTCCATCTCACCAGTCTCTATCTCAGGGTTTAATAGCGGGGTGGTCTCTTCATCTCGCACCTCCATCCCGTAAGGGTCATCCTCTCCTCGTAGAGGGCTCCACGGTCCATCAAGTACCCCCTCCTCAGGGCTTCTTCTAGACACCATGCCCGGCACTCTCTCTCCTCCTGGTCTACTACCTCTTTTTCCTCCCTGAGCCGCCTGCGCCACTCTCTGGCCTCCAACTCACCCCAATGGGAAGGACATTGTGGCAGCCCCCTTCTTCGTCGGTAATCAGCTTCCTCTCGAGGTACCTATACCTTTTCCCATTTACCGGTCCACGGGTCCTCTACCCATATCATTTCCCAACCCTCCCCAGTATTACGTCCACCTCTCCTTTTATATCTTCCATTCCTGTCTCCACAATGGACCTCCCCCTTTCCTCTCTTCCCGCCAATTCATTCCCGGTCTGGGTGGCCACTGTCACCTTTGACAGTTCCCGCTCTAATTCCCAGGTATCGACTCCCCGCTGTTTGGTCTCGATGGATGGTGCAGACATGTCAGTCTGTGCCTCTTGTTTCTTTTTGAGGGAGGATGACACTCCAGCGAGAACCTCTACACTCTCGCCTCGCGTCTCACAGACCATCATTTCTCATTGCAGTCCTGAACTGAATCATGATTACTTACTCACGTGTCTGTTATTTTGCTAAGAGAAAGGTTTACCCAGTCCTAAGTATGCCATTCAAACATACTCTGCTACTAAAATGTCTTGTGCTTAAAGATATGATGGGGGAGATGGTTAGTTATTTTTTTTATTTCTCTCACATTTTCCTTATCTTTAAATTTTGAATAGGATTTTATTTTCTCTTTTATAGGGTGCTTTTGTAGGTCTCATTTGTGGATTCACCTCTTCACTTTGGGTTGGAATTGGAGCTCAAATTTACCCTCCACTTCTCCATAGTACCATGGCATTAAATTTCTCAACTGCAGGATGCAATTTAACCAATGCAGGCACAGATGGGAACTGGACTACTCCTACAAATCTACCATCATTTACAGCTTTGAATATGCAACCACCTGAGAGGTACATAACAAACTGATTATTTATCAACTAACGTCTGTCATATTTAAGGTGGATTGAATGCAGAATGAGAAAAATCTTTGGTCCTATTTGTTGACAAATATTGTAGTTCTTTGGTTGTTGTAGGTTTTTGAGGCTGCTTGGCTGTGTTCTGAAGGTTCTTCTTCCTAACTTTTTGCCAATCTCTGTGGCTGACATCTTCAGAGGACAGGAGTCTCAGACAGAGACTGGCGAAACATTAGGAAGAAAAAACTTCAGAACACGGCCAAACAGCCCAAAAAACCTACAACAACCATCGGATCCTGGCCATGAAAGCCTTTGAGAATACATTGTAGTGTAGTTCTTTGTCCATTCATGTACAAGAAAAACTCATAAAAATTAGCAGAAGGTCTTTTGTTCACATTACTTGGGAGATGAATAAGCATTTGACATTGCAGATCATGCAAGGATAGAAAATGCTGGGTATAGAATTTGTTCTCATTCTGTTACTAGCGTTGTGTTACTAGCGTTGTTGTTTTGTATAAGTAAACCTTAAAGGCACATTATTTAGATGGAAACATGCTGAAATTCACTAGCAAGGTGGTGAAAAACAATAAATCTTGGATGCAACAGCACAGCTGACATACTGAAGTCTTTCTATGGCTGCTTGTTTTTTATAGTTAGATAATGCTGATATTCATATTTTATCCACATTTCCCCTATTGTCATGCAAACATCTTTTAAATTGTAGTATTTAAATATTTATTTAAAATGAGAAAAGATAGTTTCATTTTTGTTTTCTGATTTTCTGTGCATTATGAGAAACTAGCAAATAAATTCCATTTTTCCTTTCCAGACCAATCCTTGCAGATTATTGGTATTCCTTATCCTATTTATACTTTAGCACACTTGGAACCCTGGTCACAGTTGCTGTGGGAATAGTGACCAGCCTTCTGACAGGTACTTATTCCTGGATTTTAATTTTATTGAGATATAATTCCCATATACTGTATAAATTCATTCTTAAACCTTTATATTATATATGTTGCAAAATATGGATTTAAAGTGTCAAAATATATTTGTCTTAATCTTTTGTTTAGAACAATGCAAGCAACACAACTGGCTTTGTAGGTATTCAGCTACACAACAATGTTCTTCTCTGATTCTAACAACCAACTTGTTAGAGTGGTATAAATATACCAGATGGGGGGGTTATAAATCAAATCAAATCAAATCAAATCAAATCAAATAAATAAATAAATAAATAAATTGATAAATCTTAAATTTCACCTGGGATTAGAATATAGTAACCACTCATTATCATATGAATCTGACTGGATTCATATGATAATGGCTCCCTCATGGATGACATTTCCTGTTTGCTTTGATCTGTGGGCATGTTGGATTTTGAACGGACAACCTCTTTAAATCCTCCTTCTAATGCATATTTTATTGTTTCCATTGGTTTACTAATACAAGTCACCTTGGATGCCTCGAACTCAGTGATGGCCATCTCGTCAGATACTGCTGGATTGCAATTCCTATCAGCTTGAGCCATCATAACCAATGTTGGCAGGTGATAGTCGATGAAGTCCAGCAACAACTGGGAGATCACAAATTTCCCACCATTGCTGTCATTGAGGAATGAAAACATGATTTAATAGATTTGCAGTGGCAAATGAACAAATAAACACCTGCTCTGATAGGCAGAATAATATCTTGCATTTTTAAAGTCACTAGTCTTGCTGTTTCTCTGTCCTTGTTAACAACTGCTCAAATAATCATTTATAATAATCTATATGTATTTGATGGGATTTGACTAACAAGACAGATGTTTTTCAGGAGGATTACGGCAGAATGTGGATCGGAAATTCATGTTAACCAAGGAGGATTTTCTGTCTAACTTCTCATTTCTGAAACCTAAACAGGTATGTATAATTTTGCAATATATTCCTAGGTGATTCTTTCCGGGTGGTAACAGAGGAAAATTTACTAGGAGATATATTATTATTCTAGTTTGTTTCTAACATGTAGAACCAGTTCTTATTTTCACTGTTACTGGAGAGAAGTGACACCTTTGATGTAATTCAGCCTTTTGACGTCCTCTGTAATTTAGTCATTTCACTGAAAACTATCAGACTAATATTTTATATGTATGATTAATGAAACCATGGATCAAATGAGCCAATAAGTTTATAACATTTTTCTAGAGATGCTCCCTAAGTTGTGGAAGGAAATATATTAATCACAGTACTGATTTTGTTACTTGTTTTGTTTCACTATTGGGCATTTCCTAGTCACACAGGATTAATTTGCAAGTCTGATTGCCAGGGTACTGTGAGAAAATCCCAGAGTAAGAAGGAAACAGATCAAAAGAAAGATATACTCATTTGCTTGAAGACAGTTTTGATCCCAAGTATTACTTTCTACAAATATGAAAATTTTAAAAAGTATATACTTCATGCACCAGATCCTGTTGGTGATCCCTAAAATCACACTAGAGCAGACCAATTGAATCAATGGGGATTTGCAAAGTTAACTCCTTCATACATTCCATTGATTCAAATGGGCCTACTCTAACTGTAACTTACTGTGCTAAAGAAAGTCACAGAGTAAATCTGAATCAATGGAACTTATGAAATAATTGGCTCACTAATTTGTCATTGATTCATTAGGCCTACTCTCATGCAGTTTACTATACTAAACAACAAGATTTTGACCCTTATGTTGATACTCAACTCTCACATAACAGCTTCAGGGCCCATTGACTGCAACTTGTTTAACTTGCTGTAATTAACTGTATTATGTTTTTATTTTTGTATAGTATGCATTTGTAAACTGCCCTCAAAGCATTGCTGAAGAGTAGTTTATAACTCTTTTAAATAAGTAAGAAGCATAACATTTCATTGTAAAATATTATTTTTTCCAGGAAGAGAAAGTCACAGTTTTAAACTGGAAGCCATTCACCATGCCAGATGAAGGAATCACTAATCCAGCTTTCAATCATATTGAAATGAATATTTCAAACAGTGAAGAAAAAGTCAACAATAGTCACATATAAAAATCCTCTTGGACTCTGTTTAAGTTGGCAGCTATTTCAGTTTACGTTTCTGAAGACAGGCACTGAGTTCATGTCCCCAGAAAAATTATCAAAATCTTAGCTGTTCACTCTAACCAGGACTCTGAGCAAGTCATAATTCAACTTGATATCATCAGAACTGAGAGGCAATTTCTTCAGGCAAAGATTATATAGGATGATATATAACAGGGAAAACTGCAAATAAATGGGTAAAAATAAAATTAAAATAAAAGAATAAATAATGTGGTGGAACCTTACAGACTAATTGTTATATTTTAATGTGAGCTTTCATGGAGAAGTCATTTCTTCAAGCATAAAAGACAAATATAACATGGCAAATATTTATACTGTACATGCCATCAACATGTGCGTGCAGGCAGCCCCCTTTGCAAGTGTGTGTGAGTACCCCCGAGGGCCTCTGCCCTTCATGCATGCGCAGGAGTGCGCCCACACCAGCACCCCCCACTCTTTTGCTTGTGCGAAGGAGCCAATTGGTTCATTGAGTTAAAAAGTTTGGGGACCACTGCTGTAAAGGATGTAAGAATCTATGTCATAAAAAAACAGTGACAGAATAAAATTTATTTACAGTGGTACCTCGACTTACGAACGTCTCCACTTGCGAACAATTTGAGTTACAAACGGCTCCGTTCAGAAAAAAGTTGGTTAGACTTGCGAACAGAGCCTCAACTTACAAATGAAAAAAAAACCCCCAACTTTCCTGCCCTTTTTTTGACCTAAGTTCATCTTAGGTCAAAAGAAGAAGAAAATAAAAAAAACTTCCCCTAGTGGTAGAGTACAGATTAACCGGCTTTGCATTAGTTCCTGTGGGAACTAATGCTTCTACCTACGAACAGCGCCTCGACATACGAACGAGAAACAGCAGGTACAGATTAAATTGTTTTCAATGCATTCCTATGGAAAAGTTTGCCTCGACTTACAAACACCGTTCCAATACAGATTTAGTTCGTACCACTGTATTTGTTTTATTTATATGCTGCCTTTCTCCTGATAAGGGGACACAAGATGAATGTTATACTAAAGGGACTGGCCTTTTACAATTACTAAAATATGGCCTTTTATTTTTAGGATGTCTTTTTAAACAGCTACAATGATATGTGAATTACCACAGGCAGTGGATGTACACAAGACCAACACTGTAGTGAGTTAAGACATGTTGCTTGTGGTCATCCATTGCCTGAGGTAATTCACACATCACCGTAGCTGTTTACAAAACCTCCTATAAAATATTAGAAACTCTAAAGTGCCAGTCTCCTCAGTATAATTAACATCTTCTTCTACCATTGTTATTCTATGCCAGAGGTTCTTACATCCTTTACAGCAGAAGCTTCAATGGAATATACCTGTATACCAAAGAGGCTATCACCCCACTGTTAAATACCCATAGACTTTCTTACCAGCCAGCCACAGTCTCTGTATTTGATGCCATGTGTAAATATTTGCCATGTTATATCTCTCTTTTGTGTCTGAGGAAGTGGATTTCTCCACAAAAGCTGACATTAAAATATAACAATCTTTAAGGTACCACCATGTTTTTGTCTTTTTTATTTGTTCTTTTATTATTACTTTATTTTTACCTACAATGCTTGCAGAAACATGGCTACCTCTTCTACAATTGCAAATAAATGGACATATACCATTGTTCATTTATAAAACATGAGAACATGTTCTGGAATTTATAAATCCTAGTGAGTGTATAATGATACATAATAACGGGCTCAACCTACCGGAAGCCAGATTTAGGCTAAATGCCAGAAAAAATTTTTAACTGTCAGAGGAGTACAACAATGGAACCAATTACCTCAGGAGGTGGTCAGTGCTCCAACACTGGAGGCATTCAAGAGAAAACTGGACAACCATGTGTCAGATCTGCTTTGATTTGAATTAGTGCATTGAGCAGGGAGTTGGACTCAATGACCTTATAGGCCCCTTCCAACTAAATTATTATATGATTCTATGATATGTTGCTGATTTCTTTGATAATTTCACTGACTTTAAGGTGAAATCCTAGGCATACTTAGAGTTAAGTACCGCTATCTCAGTGAGTGAACATAAATAGAATGCATTGTATATTTATTTTCAAAATAATCATGATTCCTTACTCACTTACATGATGTTCCATTCATTCCTATTTCCTCTAACTTTTGGTCAGGAAACATGTTCTATTAGTCCAACAGTGTTCGTAATGTTGGGGAAGCTACAGTCCAGATTATTCCAGGCATTTTCATATATAACACAATTAAATACATAATAGGGAAAATTTTCCATTCTCCTCAGGTACAGTGCAATTCTACAATAGTAGTATATAATATTTTTGTATAGGATTTTTAAAAGGAGATTTGTCGTTTAGTTGTGCCCGACTCTTCGTGACCCCATGGACCAGAGCACGCCAGGCTCTCCTATCTTCCACTGCCTCCCGCAGAGGGCCTTTTTAAATGAACAATGTAAAGAAATAGAGGAAAATAATAGAAAAGGAAAAACCAGAGATCTGTTCAGGAAAATTGAAGATATTAGAGGAACATTTTGTGCAAAGATGAACATGATAAAGGACAAAAATGGGAGAGACCTCACGGAAGCAGAAGACATCAAGAAGAGGTGGCAAGAATACACAGAGGAATTATACCAGAAAGATCTGAATATCCCAGACAACCCAGATAATGTGGTTGCAGACCTTGAGCCAGACATCCTGGAGAGTGAAGTCAAGTGGGCCTTAGAAAGCTTGTCTAACAACAAGGCCAGTGGAGGTGATGGCATAAAGGAGATTGAATACCTTAAAATAATGGAGAGAAATATAATAAGGGCCAGTGACACAAATGACACAATTTTTTTTTATAGGATAACAAAGGCAAGTTCTTTGTGCAGACATCTCTGAATACTCTTGAAACTATAGTTCAGTTAGTTGCTGCCTTTTTCAATTAATGTAATTCCTGGAGAAGTCGTGTGATTATCAAATGGCTGACTTTATGAAGCTACATATATGCACCAGACAGAAAATCAGATTGTTTTAACTGTCATTTTATTTGAAAATTTTGGCACAAAAGGAGAAGGCAAATTTCTTTGAAAAAGACAATGTTTGGAAATGTTAAAGGCTGCAGGAAAATAAGAAAACCACATTTGAGATGGATTGACTCCCTAAAGCAGAGGTCTCCAACCCCTGGTCCGCGGTCCTGTGCCGGTCTGTGGCCTCAGCTGGACTGGGCCGCGGACAGACCTCCTGCCTCCCCTGCATGCACCCACCCCTGCATAGCTGATTTGCACATGAGTGTGTGTGTGCCCGCACAAGCGCAGCACTGCTGTTTGTGCATGTGCACGCCTGCACAAGCACCGCGCCACAGAGAATTATCTCTGTGTTTCAGACACAGAGATAATTCATTGTCGCTGTTGTTATGTGCTGCCATCGCCTCTGACTTACGGAGACCCTATGAATGAGGAATCTCCAAAATGTCCTATCCTCAACTGCCCTGATCAGCTTTTGCAAACTGAAGCATGTGGCTTCCTTTAGAGAGTCAGCCCATCACTTGATCTTCCTCTTTTCCTGCTGCCATGGGGTTACCATAAGTCAGAGTTGACCTGATGACAAATAACAACAATTTGAAACTTCTAAAGACAGATTGCAATTTAATATGGTCACTTGAATCTGAATCCTTGCTCATCCACAAAATTCACTAGGTGCTTGTGGCTCACTCACTCTCTGCTTAACCTAGTCCACAAAAATCACTATGTGAGTAACAACCTATGAGGAAGAAAATAGGATACTCATGCATCACATTTTAGAGGAAAGAGAATACAAATGTCATAAAAAGAAATATAAGTTAATATTAAGTCCATTGATTTTAAAGTATACTGTATGTGCCTAACTTTCTGTTGGATAAACTGAACTTTTAAATTAAAAGTTTATGTTAAATATACCCCTGTTCTATTTGAATACAGATAATCTAATAATTTATTAAAGTGTATGTAAAGAAAAATTAATTTTGAAGCGTTTTGTTTATGAAATGAGGATCTGGCATTACATTTATGTCAATCCAAGAGTGACTTTAGCTGTGGCAAAATGGGATTATGTTTTTTAAGCAGAAGAAAAAATGTTGGCATGTATAAAGCCCTAAATGGTCTGGGTCCAAGCTATCTCAAAGACCGTACAGTGGGGTCTTGACTTGAGAACTTAATCCGTATTGGAAGGCGGTTCTCAAGTCAAAAAGTTCTCAGGTCAAATCTGCATTTCCCATAGGAATGCATTGAGAACCATTTGATCCGTATCGGCTCTTTTCCGTCCATAGAAACTAATGGGAAGCTGCTATTCCACCTTCGACCACTAGAGGGGGATATTTTGTTTCTTTTTTTCTTAGGTCAAGAAAGGTTCAGGGAAGGCGGGGAAAATACAGTCCAGGCAGGACAGGACCAGGCAGTCTGAAGACTGTCTCCCAATCCACTCTCTAAATGCTGGGAGGAGTGAGGAAGCAGACAGGCACCCTTTTCACTGGCCAACAGTTAACTGAAAGTTCAAATTTTGCACTTTCCCTGCCTCCCACGTGGTTTTTTTCAGTTCTTAACTCAAATCTAAGTACAGTGGTGCCCCGTATAGCGAGGTTAATCCGTTCCGGATTAACCCTTGCTATACGGAATCATCGCTAAACGGGTAGGGGAAACGTATTGAAACGCATTAAACTTAGTTTAATGCGTTCCAATACCTTGTTTACTTACCCGTTCAGCGAGGATTCCCCTTGCCGGCAGCCATTTTCGCGCCCTCGCTAAGCGAGGGCAGGGCGTGAAAACGGCTGCCGGCCGCCAATTCCCGCGAAAAAGGGATCGCTATACGGAAACATCGCTATACGGTGCACTCGTTAAGCGAGGCACCACTGTATGTAAGTCAAGTCAATATTTTCCTATGAGAGTGGTTCTTAAGTCAAAATGTTCTTAACTCGAGCCGTTCTTAAGTCAAGACCCCACTGTACAGTATCTCCCATTATGAGCCAACTCAAGTGTTAAGATAATCAGGTCAGGCCTTTTTCTCAGTCCCGTCACCTTCACAGGTGTATTTGATGGAGACACAGGAGAGGAGCTTATTTATTGCTGCTCCCAAATTTTGGAACTCCCTCCCACAGGAGGCCAGGCTGGCCCCTCCTTTGCTGTCCTTCTGTAAGCAGCAAAAACCTTTCTCTTTAGGCATGCCTTCCCTCACTAACCAGCTGTGTGATTTTTAAACAGATTGTTATGCATTACTGCTTTGACTGGGTTTTTACTACTAGTGTTTTCCATTTCTGAGTGACATTTTAAAATTGTTGTATACTTATTGATCTTTGCCTTCATATTGCATTGTTCGTAGTTTTAAACATTGTCTTTTAATGATGTTAACTATCCTTGTACACTCATTGTTTTCAACTTTAAATATTGCCTTTCATTGTTGTAAGTCGCCTTGGATCCTTTTCAAGGAGAAACGTGGAATAGAAATATTTTAAATAAATGTGTGTCTAAGCATCTGACAGTACAGTACACTGAAGAACCTGGCTCTTTAAACCGTTAAGAAAAATAAATCACTTTCTTCGAAATATGTGATTTCAAAGCTAGAAAAAAGTGTGGCCAAATTGCTAGGAGCCAGGGGACAGAGAAAATGACAATTCTGCCTAATCAAATTCAGCTCAGACCTGTTAAACAAAAGGATGCGGGTGAGGAGGTTGAAGAGATGCTGGCATAGGGGAGCTGCCTGCCTCCCAAAGATAGTCAAATAAACCCTCAAACCTTGCTTGCTGTCGTTGGGTACAGCGGAAAAACATAGGTGCACGTTTTTAAGTAAGATTCACACAGCAGTACATTAATGTAATTAAAGGAGGAAGGGGAGCATTTTGGCTTCAGGCAGAGAAATGACTCGGTCTGCCCCTGGGGTAAAGGGAAGACTCATTCAGGTACTGTAGTTCAGTAGAAAGCGGGATATAAATGTAAGGAATGAATAATAATAAATACGCCTTGATATTCGAGCGTCTCCTTTGCCTGAAAACTTGTCGGTTCCACTTTCCACCTCCCAAACCCGCTACCGTGAAGGGCGTCCAGTGAAACCACACGGGGTTAGAAGGTGAAAAGGAGTAAGTGGCTTTTTATGTTCAAGTTGGCGAAAAGCAGAATAAAAGTAGTCTGATGAACAGACAGAATCGATAACACGAGCTACGAACTAATCGAGGACGCCGAGTTCGCACAGTTAAAAAGGAGCGGCTCAAGCGGAGCGCGCCAAGCTTGAATAACGGCTGGTTGGCGGAAGGCGGAGCGGCGCTTCGACGCCACCGAAGCCGAGAGGGTGGCGGGGGTGCCTGGCGGTCCGGGCTGAAAGAGTTGAAATCTGTGGGGTGGCCCTGTGGGACTTCCCTGAGGCGCTCCCCACTTCCGACAACCGGGTGAGGAGAGCCAAGCGCGGCGGACAGGCGGAGCTCAGGCCCACAGAGGGACCTCTTGGACTATGCGGGGGGCCTGCCCTCCCTCGTAACGGCGCGGCGGGTTTTGCCGGGGCGCGTCTCCCTCCCGCGCTCCGGTTTGAGGCCATGTCGTCGTCCGCCACGACCCCTCCCGTTGTGGACCCCAACAGGCTTTCCGACCGCTTCACCATTTTAGACTATGTCGTTTTCGGGGCCATGCTGGTTTTCTCCGCCGCCATCGGCATTTTCTACGCCTTCCGCGGAGTCCACAAGAGTCACGACGACTACGTGATGGCGGGCCGCAGCCTCACGTGCGGGCCGGTGGCGCTCTCGCTCACGGCCAGCTTCATGTCAGCGGTGACAGTGCTGGGCACCCCGGCCGAGATCTATCGCTTTGGGATCTCTTTCGGCCTCTTTTCCATCGCCTATGCCATCATGGTGTTGATCAGCGCAGAAGTATTCCTGCCCGTTTACTACAGGCTGGGGATCACCAGCGCATACGAGGTAGCTAGCGGACGGTGGCGGGGCCACTTTCCATTTATTGCGGCTGAAGGCGACTGGTCACTTGCAGCCGGCCCTTGCTATTTCCCTCTGCAAGATTGGCCGTGATTTGCCTGCTCCCCTGTTTTCCACGGGAAAATTGCCGTGGGTTCGGGTGGGAAGGCCGCCTTATAAAATCAAACACCAAATAGAATGAGTAGCTGTGTAGCCTATTGACAAAACCGTGGTGGGTAGTGAGTGCCATACTACCCATTGGTACTATTTTTTTTAAAAAAGAACCATTAAACATTTTACAAATAAGGTGGGCTTTTGTTAAAACTGCAGTGCCACATGCATTTTGCAAACTCTATTTTGTCTTCTTAGCCCTCTGATTGCTATAGTTATGGGCATGTGTTTATACCATTCTTGCCTGAAGAAGCATTCTCAAAAACTTGGAAAGCTTGCCTTATTTGTAATGTTGTAGTGATTGTGTAAGGGTATTACCCAGCCCAGAACGTTTAAATTTTTTAAGTTTATATTCAGTCCAAAATTGTTTGTGTATTCACATGGCAAGCAGGGGAAATCAAACAACGAAAACAAATAACAAAACCAGCCTCAGGCTGCTGGCACATTGATGGAGTTGGCCAAAGCCCAGGATTCCTTCTAGTACCCTTGGCCAGCTGGAGGCTTCTGGATATCACACTGGTAAAACATGTAAACAGAGCCTTTTACTCTCCCCCCCCCCCNCTCCCCCCCCCCCCGTGTGTGTGTGTTTTGGATCTTCAGCACTTGTTACAAAAGGAAACAGCACAGATAACTTTGGTAAGCTTGCTGTCCATGAGCAACTTGTGGACCAAGAGGTAGGAGTTCCAATCATATACTGTACCATCTGTGGTATTCTTATGAATTTGTCTGACCCCTGCCTCTGAAACATAGCTAAACTGCAGCTTTTGACACATAGTCTTTTTAATTCTATATGTGAATAGTAAATTAATTAATCCCATTCATTAACAGTAATTCTCAATAAGACAGTAGTGCTGTACCTACCGATTTACCTAAGGTGTGAACCAATAATTCAAAGGGACACTTATTGTCATAAAATGAAAATCAATATTGGTGATGCTACAACCAAAAAGTAGTTTAAAACTTCTTTGTTTCAGGTGGAAAACAGAACCAAAGCTGGGTATGTTTAGCAAGTTATGATACCCAACTGCCAAACTCTATAGCTTCCTCCAGTGACTTTGTATTGATAATACAAGTCAAGGACCCCTGAAGGACCTCATAAAGAAGGCATGGGGATATTTGGCCTTGTTGATATCCAGCTCACATCAACCTTGGCCACCACAGTTGATGATTAGCAAATGCAGTCAAAAAACACCTGGTGAGCCACATATTCCCCATCTCTACCATAAATCAAATGACTGAGTAGTATTCTCACTAACACCAAATCCTAAGAGTGTTCAGCCAGGTATTATTTAACTTGTGTAAAACAATGTTTCTCAGGGACAACCCAACCTTTGGTCTAAATGAGAGAGTCACTGATTTAATGGCAACATCATTTTGTAGCAAGGGTACCATAACACATCCTCTACTGCTCCTGTATGCTTCTTTAAAAAAGGTGAGGAAGAGGCCCTTGTTCTCTGCTCCATCCCACTCTGTAATGCCTGGCTGTAGCAATTCCTTGTAGGTGAGGCACTGTGGGTAAAGTGGCCATAGAATTGCCCACAAGTGATTTTTTTTGGAGGGGGGGAAACTACCTCTCCTACAGCTGGAAATACCTTACAACTGGGCATTATTGCAGAGGTTACCTGTCACTGAAGAAGAACAGAATGTTGCAGGGTGGGGAGAAAGGACCAGAACTTCTTTTCGCAATATGAAGGGTTTGCAGCCATTGCCACTGAAATTACCTGGTGGTCCTGGTGTAATGGAAGGAATGGCACTTCATTTTGGAACTCAATTGGTGAAGTTCGTATTCAGCTCCTGGTGCCTCTTAAACTCTTCCTGGCCGAACAGCCTAGACAGATACCATATAGAATGACTCTGAAAGGGGCAGAAAATGGCATTTTGCTTATTTTAGACTATCATGACATTTCCCCCCCATTTACCTGTAACAATATAGAACAAGATCATCTACACTATTCAATATTGTGATATTGAGTTCATAGAGTTATAGAACTACAAGTACCCTTAGAGATCACCAGTCCCTCAGCTGAATGCAAAAGTTGTCTTGTGTATGCAAGCAGTTAGCATCCCTGATGGCTGCCAAGTTTTGGCTTAAATCCATTCAGGAAAGGAGAATTCATCAACTTCTAAGGTAGTCATTTCCACATGGGATCTCTCTCACACACTTTGACTCTCACTCACAAAGATACAATTTAAGTGTCCTGAATGAGAAATTGTCTGGCTTTTTTTCTCCATGCTCCTGAAATGGATTTTTGCTGTTTAGAGGAAAATAGCAGACATGATACTGGCATTTGCATGGCTTCTAATCCTTGGCAGCAAATACCAGCAAATCACCCTGAATGGGGTGAATTTGATCTAGTAAATAGAGAGGGGCATGAACCGCCAGTTGGGCAGTTCATGCCAGTTCATTTACTGGACAGACAGGTGTTTGGCGGTTCCCAGACCTGCCACCTCCGGCAGGTGCCCATTCACAAACAGCACCTTGGTTTCCCTGCCCTGCCTCCTACGGGTGCTGCCTCTAAGTATGTGAGTGGGTGCCTGCTGAAGACGGCAGGCTGGGAACCGCTGAACACTTACTTGTTCAGCCGGTAAATGAATTGGCAGTTTGTGCCCGTCTCTACTAGTAAACAAAATGACAGTGAATGAACTCAGCTTCCAAATCATTTCCCTCCCTATCAAATTAGCAGCATGCCCATGTGCATTTCATTTTTAAAAAGGTGACAGATAGTAGCTGAATTTCTCAAGTAACATGTCATCTCAGGAACTGCAACCCTGTGTGTGTTTGCTCACAAGTAATTTCTAGTAAATTTATGGGAATTCATTCCCTCCTACATTTACAGAAAACTCCAGACTTAGATACTGTTTGTATTCTTTTTCTTTAAAAACTGTCATTACTTTTTCGATTTACTGTGTGTTTGATATTTAAATGTAGTCTTTCTTTTTGCAGTACTTGGAACTTCGATATAATAAATATATGCGTCTGGTTGGAACAGTGATGTTCATGACACTGACGGTAAGTAAAGCACAAAATATTTCTGATAATCATTATCTTTTATATTAGTGTCCTAAATTATAGTTGATTTAGAATGTTTGCTCATATTAAATATGTCACTTCCAGTCTTATTCCAAACTAATTCCTTTGACTTCAGTGATAGTTAATGATATTTCAGAACACTAACCTAAATGTAGTTCAACATCTTGTCAGCACTCAGGGTGGATATATTTAAACTAGGAATGAGTAAAATATTCCACTTGATGTTATATACTGTAAGTTACTGGGCCTTGCTTTAGAATTAAATTGTTTTAATTAGTTTTCTATGCATCTAGTGTTTCAGTAAAGACACACATTGTATTAAAGTTCCTTTCATATAAGACAGCCATAGAAATGAGACATTGAAGGATGCACTGAGACTTTAATAAGGTGTGTCCAGTATTCAGTTGATACCCATGGCATAAGAGGCCTTGGTTTCACATAATCTGAATAATACATGCTGACAAATAGGGGACTGTTTGGATATAGATAATTTTACCCTAAATAACTTTTAACCTTTCACAGTAATGTGGTAAGCCTCTTATGAGGAAATGTAAGCATTTCCAAAAGAGGAAAATAAGCTTTTCATTTAAAACAGAAAAGCTATGGTTGGTTCTCTACCACAAAATCAAGGAAATTCAGATGGCAGATCGACTCTCCCTATTCTCACTCAAGCCATTCAAACACTTAACTTACTACTTGCACTCTGTATTCTCCTAACAACAGTCTAGCTTTGTAAGCTAGAGATGTGCTAAGCAGTATTATGCTTGTTAGAAGTTAAGGCAGATCCTAATTGAATAGAATGTTATTTTCTTTCAGATTTAATATTGTTTTTTAATGATGTAAGCTGCCTCTTTATATTTATTGTTTTTAACATTATTCTTTAATAATGTAAGCTGCCTTGGGTCATTTTTAAGGAGAAAGGGTAAGATTTAAATAAATAAATGCGTACACACACACACGTACGTACGTATGTACATACGTACATACATTTTCATGCCTGTTTATTTCTTTCCTGTTGTCCAGGTATTATATACTGGAATTGTTATATATTCTCCATCCTTGGCTTTGAATCAAGGTAATATGAACGTATTCTTCAACACATTTTTTTAACAGAAAAGATAGATAAATAATATCATTGTAAGATATATATACTGATGTCTTTGGGTGGTTCACTTGTGGGAAGTATCTACTAGCTAATAAGAAATGTTAATTCCCATTGCTGAGCAGTAAGGGTGTAAGGAACACTGGTTTTGTACTTTTGTTCTGTTTTGTCCTTGATGAAAAACAACATCACCATGTCAGTGTATCCCACTGAAAAAATTATCAGTCATTGTGATGTTTTTTGTTTCTGTATGGGCAGGCTTTTTTAGCAGCAGTTTTAGCAAAAATACTTGCGTTTTGCACAAAGCATTGGCATTTTGTATTTTAGAAAAAAACCTTGTATTTTCTGCAGAACTTCTGCAAAATTCCCACAAAAAGCTCTGAAATGTAAAAATGCAAAAATCTCTTGCCGTCTTTCAAATGTACAGAAAAGTTTAAAAATTTTTCATTTTCACCTGCAAGAACAAAATGAGCAAACATTTACATATCTGTTCTTCAGCTCATGTGCACAATATGACTTTGGCATCTAGTTATATACGTGTATGATTCAAGCATGTGTGAGTGGAGGGCATTAAAACTTAGGCCGAATGCTAGTGGGGTTTTGTGTGCGTGCAAGAGGAATCAACCAGTAATTCACAGCTAAGTGACAAGGTGCTAGCTTGGCACACACAAGATATCCAATCTATTAGCTATGGCAAATTACATGATTCCTCTTGCCCTTTTTGAAAATCTCAACAAGATTTTGACTTTGTAATTTGGTTACTAAGGTCAGCTTCTTGTAATCTTCCCCTTTGGTCATACTTTGCTGTTTTGCTCGCCCTTAACAAATTGCTCAGAAATTGAATGAATACTTTATTACGGTCAAAGACCAGTAAAACCAAATCAGTATAAAATAGATACATATAATTATAGTTTCATAAAGTCAGTCAGGGTAATAAAATTCCATTAAAACATGATAAAACAACCCCGTCTTTCCAGTTAATAACATCATATATCCTTAATATAAGTAAAACCTCAGCCAGTGTTATATTAAAAGCATTATATTATCCATCCTAAATCACCTACCCAAAAATCTGATTGTCAGAGAGTAGCAACTGGACATAATCCTCTGATCTCCCGGGAGATTTACAGATAATAGGTGATAAAAGCTCCATACGAAGATCCTGATAGGAAGTACAGAAAAGGAGAACATGACCAACTGATTCAACTTTATCACTGTTACAAGGCAGAGACAATCTGATGTAGGCAAACCTCAAAATCCCTCCAGAAGCTTAGAAGGAAAAACATTGACCCTAGCTTAGGATTTGTTGAAGTATGATTGCTACTTATCAATGCAGTACTTTTCTTGACAGGTGTATGCTATAGGTTTGTTAAGTATGATAGTTATGTAGTATAATATAGATTTATTTCTGGTCATTGATGCAGTAATTAATCAATTGATTGATGTGTATTTCTTCAAACTGTTGCTAGAAATGTTTCAAAAACCTGTGCATTTTTTTCATTCTCAGTTACAGGATTTCAGTTGTGGGGTTCTGTTGTTGCAACAGGAGTAGTCTGTACTTTCTATTGCACACTGGTATGTTAATAATATGTAAACAGTATGGTATGTTAACCATTTGTAAACATGTGTTGTAGTAACTTTTGATAAGTTATTAGTATAATAATATGAAATTTTAATTTTCCATTTTGCTACCGTACTCTCTTTCCCCCCTGTTGACTTTTGTGGTTAAGCTGCTGTCACCTCATATTTAATAACCTGTTTATCATAGGCAGCAATGAATTCCAAACAGGCAAATATAGGGAATTTTATGCAGGCCAATATGTGGGCTTGTGGAAATGGAAGTGCCTCATCTGTTTTTCAGCCCTGGTTGATTTCCATGCTGTGTCTGGGGGAAGGGTTTTCCTCTGAAGCTGGGATGAATAGCAGGGGTTGCCAGGGAATGGATGGATTGCTCTTCCCTTAGCATTCAGGTTTGTAACTAGCCAGTTGTCTTCATATCCATGTTGGTTGCAGTGGAGAGGGCTTCTGATCCTCCCTGGCGAGAATGGAAACAAAAATGGCAAAAAAATGGGAGGAGGACAGGGAGAGGAAGAAGCGAAGCAAAGAATCAAACCCAGAAGCACCAGGATGATTACTGCTGGTTTGAGGGATTCCCCCCCCCAAGAAAAAAACCCTTGTCCGGAGCAAAAACTGCCACTCCTGGAAGGTTTCAAGAGAGGAAGCATAATTTTTTTCTTCTAGAAAAATGTGTGGGGATTTTGTGTATTTGTTTTGTTTTGCTTGGGATAGTGTGGGTTGTATGAAAAAATTCTTTTGGGAATGCATATTGTCCACTTCATCTTACATAGTATTGGTTGAAATCCTATTATGCAGGTTCACCTGTGCAAATGGATTAACCGGTTTACAGTGCATTCCTATGGGAAATGGTGTTTCACAGAACGATGTTTCACACAACGTTGATTTTTTTGGAACCAATTAACATCGTTGTGTGAGGCACCACTGTATTGGTTGAAATCCTATTATGCAGGTTCACCTGTGCAAAAGGAACAACCTCATCAGCTGTGACAGATTGTTTTCTTGTGTGATTTGGGGGCATGTATATGTTGCAAAGACTGCAGGAACATGGAATCCATCTGGAAAATTCAGGGTTCTTTGTAAGTGCCAGGGAAAGGCTAGCTGGGAATGTGGCGATTAGAGTCTGCCCAGTAACAAGGAGGGAGTAACATCTGCTGCTTCTCTCTTGTGAGAGCAGCCTTTAAGGCCAAGCCAGCTGCTTCCCTGATACTGCACTAGTTAGATGATGATTTTAGTTGTGTGAGGGGAGGGGGACAGAAAGTGTTCTTGTCTTTGTGAACATTCAAGGCCTCATAAAAAGCCTCCTTGGCAGATTATCTGGAAGGATCTAGAATGGGATAATTAGTGTATAAATGGGGTTCAGAAGTTACCTTAGCAGATTCAGATTACCTCTCAGGAGATGCTGTGCTGTGCCTGGGAGGATGCACTCTGTGAACATTTCCAAATTGACTCTATGCTAACGTATGAGTATTAGATAGAATAGCTTGGCTTTGTTGTTTTCTGGTGTGTTCTCTTGATCGCCTTAGCTTTGTTCCATGTGTTTTTTGAAATCTCTCTGAAATTTTTTTTAAAACGTTTGCCTTTTGCTTTTTCTCAGTATCTTTATTAAAATATAAAATATCTCCAACTAACTGTCTGGGTTTTGGGCTCAAAAGGTTTGTGGTACTAAAGCCAGGTTTTGCCTTGACGAGCTACTGGGATTTTTGGTGTTTTTGTAGGTGTGGTGGCAGTTCTACCTTGCAAGGTGGGCATGATGGTTCCGAGTGCCTGGCTCTGTGGATGTTTGGACTCCCTGGGTAGACTGGAGTCTTGGGATGCACCCGTGCCGAGCAGATTCCCTAATCATCACCACACTTGATCTCCTCGGTTCACTCACTCCAGAATAAACAGCGTAGTTTGGCTGAGTGGCTACTTAGGGAATTCCTGAGGCTAGTTAACTATCACACATGTCTTGCTGAGAATATGATGGATGCATGTACGCTAAAACCACAAAATGGAGCCTTTAATCTGGGGCAATCTGCTGCTGCTGACATCATTCCCATGGCACAGGCAGACCCTGCCCACAAGATTTTGGCCATTGTCTTCTATGAGCTTATTGTCAAGGAGAAGTTATTTTTGGATTGACAGGACAGTGACCAAAACGATGGGCAAAGTTTACAGAACCTTATTAAAAGAAAAAGGAAGAAATGTACAGTAAAATGAGTGTAGACTAGTAACAGAAATGAAACTAATAAACCTTATATAGCAAAGATAGAACGTGGCAAAGATATGATTGAAGACTCTTTCTGCCACTGGGAACTCTCTGTATAGTGGCAGGTCTTCTTTCCACCTTCTTGAGTGCTCAGCCCCTAAGAATCCACATTCATATGGCCTGTGCAGTACCCGATAGATGTGGCCCACACCAAAACTCACCAAAGCCCTAAAAACCTAACACTTTAATACCTTTTAGGCAGCTAACATCTGCCCCCTGGCTAGGACCACAACTCATTCTTTCTTAAGTGGCAAAATATTTAAATACTGTACTAACTCTCTAAATGGTACATTGATGGCTCACTAACTGGCAAATTAACAGGACTTGTGTCTTCAGAGAATTAAGATAATGAGCAAATTAGTAACCCACTGAGTTCCCAGGCACAGCTGTCCAGAATTTATTTCCCAGGTTATAACCATACACTTTAATAGCTGACAGTTAATTGGTAAACATATATACTCTTCCTAGATGGCTATTTGTCAGATCAGGGAAAAGGAATGGGAACAGAAATAAAACTGCTGAAGATTCAGTTTCTGCTCAGACAAAGAAACACCTATAGGCCTATATGAAAATGGAAACCAATTCATATAGACCCACAAATGCTGGCAAGCCTGGACCTAGATGAGTAAAATTGAGACACACTACCATTACACTTCCTCATTTTCAAAAAGTCTTACACAATGTAAAACTGCTTATATAGAATCTGTCCTAACATTGAAGTCCTTGTGACTGTTGTGATTCTTTTAAGAACATGTTTTTTTCCATGTTAAAGGTCCTTTGCTTCCCATTTCAGCAGTGGTTCCCAACCTGGGTTCTCCAGATGTTTTTGGACTAGAAGTCTCAGAAGTTTTCACCACTAGCTGTGCTGGCCAGGATATCTGGGAGTTGTAGTCCAAAACATCTGGAGGCCTAAGGTTGGGAACAACAGTCTTTCGGAATTATATTGTGGAAATGCTTCTTCTTGTTCCCCAGTCAGTTATGCAGATGAGCAAAACTATGAGTCAAGGTATGTCCTCCTTTCCCAGATTTAACTGAAGGAAACGGAAGGAATTCTGGTTCAAATACTTGGAATTAGTAAAATATAGTATGCTACCAGGGAAAACATCTTTGCTTTGAGCATTAGAGATAAATTGGAACATTTCTTGCATTCCTATTCATTTTTTTTTCATGTTTACAGAAAGGAATCTGTAATTCAAGGTGAAAGTGAAATAAAAATGGCAGAGTTCATTTAGTTTTCTACTGTATTGCAAGTGAAAGACCACATTTCTTTCTTTCTTTTGAATAAATCTATCCTTGTATGTTTCATGTCAATACTGTATCTTTGTAATCAGGTGGGCTATATGTGGGGTTCAGAGATTGCTCGGAATCCTTCCAGGCAAACAAATCTTTTAGTACTGAAACAGTTGAGAATTTTGATTATAACGTGTATTTTCATAACATCAGCAGAGTAAGGAGATATTGGTTAGAAGAGATACTTATAACACTATGACACTGAGAGAGTAAAACCAACAACTTAGTATATTTACATATATACATAGAGAATAGACTTTCCTCTGGCAGCATAACATGGCATGAAGCAACACACAGAATAGGAAAAAGTGACCTGACTTACAGCAGATAAAGACGTTCATTTTATACATGACTTATGTACAGTTCTGTGACCAATCAGAAAATACATTCCTCCATTTTCTGTTACACCAAGTTTCATCATGCACACAGCTGTACAGAATTAAGTTTTAATCCTTGATACCCACACCTGAATACAATCAGTATAGTGACTCAGGTGAAATTGACCACTTTACATTTAACTATTGTTGTTGTTGTTTAGTCGTTAAGTCGTGTATGGGTCTTTGTGGCCCCATCGATCAGAGCACGCCAGGCCCTCCTGTCTTCCACTGCCTCCCGGAGTTTGGTCTAATTCATGTTGGTAGCTTCGATGATACTGTCCAACCATCTCGTCCTCTGTTGTTCCCTTCTCCTCTTGCCTTCACACTTTACCTATGTGGACCCTTGTTGGCAAGGTGAAGTCTCTGCTTTTTAAGATGCTGTGTAGGTTTGTCATTGCTTTCCTCCCAAGAAGCAGGTGTCTTTTAATTTCATCGCTGCTGTCACCATCTGCAATGATCATGGAGCCCAAGAAAGTAAAATCTGTCACTGCCTCCATATCTTCCCCTTCTGTCTTAGTTTTTTTGATGTTGAGTTTCAGACCGTTTTTTGCACTCTCCTCTTTCACCCTCATTACAAGGTTCTTTAATTCCTCCTCACTTTCTGCCATCAGAGTGGTATCATCTGCATATCGGAGGTTGTTGATATTTCTTCCGGCAATCTTAATTCCGGTTTGGGATTCCTCCAGTCCAGCCTTCCACATGATATACTCTGCATATAAGTTAAATAAGCCGGGGGACAATATACAGCCTTGTCTCACTCCTTTCCCAATTTTGAACCAATCAGTTGTTCCATATCCAGTTCTAACTGTTGCTTCCTGTCC